CAGCTAAGACATGGGTGAACTTTTTATCACGTATGTTGCTGAGCAGCCAACGCACTTTTACAATGTTCGTATAGGTTTTGGTATGAGTGATCCACCGGGCGATTGCATTATCTCCTCCACGCATTGCGTATGCTGACTATGGAGAACCAACCTCCCGAGACCGTGGGACGTTGCTGGTTATCACACATAACAGACCGAGCCGGGTCACTGGCCGGGGGACCTCGTTTAACGGCTTGGCAGCATCATATGGTGCAGCCCAAGACAGCAGGTGCAGAACGCATCTCCCGACCAGGAATCAAGACTTGCACGACCCATAAGCCGCCAACTATCCAACTCTGTAGGCGAGACAAACCTGCACGGGTGTTACTGCTCCCTATGTTTTCTTACTGTGTTCCTGCATCATTGTGTACTTGCCTTATTCCGTATCTCAGTGGCGTGCTATCAAGGCAGATACAGAAAAGAATCAAGGACGAGGCAAAGGGTCTGAGGCCGGTTCTCAGCCGCCCCTGAGTGCGGCACAGGGAGCAGGATGGGCGGACGCGCTGCTAAACAGCCGTTGGCTGCAACCCGCCACGCAGGCGATATTGCAAAGGCTTGGCACCTGCCCAATGGGGTTACATCGTGGCGATGAAAACATTCATGTCGTGTGCCTCTTTGCTGCGTCTTTTGCGCTCGCTCCGTCTTTTTCACTTTATTTTCCGTAGAGCTCGGCTTCTTGCAGTAATCTCCTCCGTCGTTGCATGACATGGCCCGCCATACCGTTGGCTGAGGGTGATTAGACTTGCCCGACGCTGGCAAAAGAACCCTTGGCAACCTCGCAACTATCTTCCAGAATGCTTATCAGTAGTTTCAATTGAGAGACATGATTCGCTTCTGTCTCGTAGCCCCGCTCCGTACCAGCGGTCTCTGGCTAAGCCAGTGCGTGCCAAGCTGGCCGAAAGCTTGAGCTCTTGAGGGGCATCACCATGTTGTCTGCGCAGCGTGGCATCGAATGCAGACGGGGAACATGGAGGGTGAAATAGAAGATGTGGTATTGGTATGATGTGATATAAAAGGCGTCAACGTCCCCCAGCGCGGGTGTGTTAATTGCGAGATCAACCCGCTTTGCTCCTCTCGCGGTCTCCTCCCTCGTCTTGTCGCGTTCACCGAGCCATCTATCAAGATGAAGACCACTTGCCTTTCCGCTGCCACCTTGGCGCTCGCAACGACCACTTTGGCCACCGACCTTCTCACGGCCGACAAGATTGAGGCTGACATCAATACCGTCGAGTGAGTCATCACGCTTGTCCAAGCACTGCCAATCGCAGTAGGCATCATCGCTGACCCGACGCTTTTCACACAGGCTTGAGCGCGTCCTGTGGAACCTGAACAAGATTGGTCGCGACAATGGCGGTACTCGCGCCTTTGGCACCCCAGGCTACAAGGCTTCGGTCGACTTCGTCTTGGAGCGTGCCCAGACACGTTTCGCCAAGGAGATGGACACCTGGGTCCAGCCCTTCAACCACACCTTTGAGCAGACCAATGCTATTTCCGTGACTGGTCCCGATGGCCAGAACGTTATCGTCATCAGTGCCGAGTACAACACGGCCACCCCTCTTCCGGGCGGTATCACTGCCCCCCTTATCGACACCCCCGTCGACGACGAGAACGGCTCCGGGTGTCTACCTGAGTCGTTTGAGGGCATCGACGCCGCTGGAAAGCTCGCTCTCGTAAAGCGCGGCGTGTGCGCTATTTCAGATAAGATCAAGAACGCGAAGGCGGCCGGCGCTCTGGGCGTGATCCTGTACAACCAGGTGCCTGGCGACGACATCGTCAAGCCCACGCTCGGCGCCGAGAACATCGGCCTCCTCGTCCCTCTCGGCATCATCACGCTCGAGACCGGCGAGGCCTGGAGCGCTGCACTTGCTGCGGGTGAGGAGGTCACCGTGACCCTCATTGTGGACGCCATCTCTGAGGAGCGTGTGACGTGGAACGTCATCTCCGAGACCAAGGAAGGCGACCCGACCAAGGTCATTATGCTCGGCGCGCATCTCGACAGCGTCCTCGAGGGCCCCGGCATCAACGACGACGGCTCCGGCACGGCGGCGCTGCTCGAGTTGATGGGATCCGTGAAGAAGTACAGCGGGTTCCCCCACAAGATCCGGTTCGCGTGGTGGGCCGCCGAGGAGGCCGGCCTGGTCGGCTCGTACTACTACACGGAGAACCTCGCCGCGGAGGAGGCCGACAAGATCAAGTACTACTTCAACTACGACATGATCGGCTCGCCCAACCCCATCTACGAGCTCGCCGCCTACAACAACAGCGGCGTCGGCCCGCAGCTCCTGGCCGACTACCTCGAGGCCAACGGCAAGACGGTCTCGTACGCCGAATTCGACGGCCGCTCCGACTACGCCGGCTTCGTCGCGCTCGGCATCCCGACGGCCTCCATATTCACGGGCGAGGGCGAGAACGACCCGTGCTACCACCAGGCCTGCGACGACCTCGACAACATTAACTGGGACGCCATCACCGTCAACACCAAGGCGGCCGGTCGCGCGCTCGCCACGCTCGCCAACTCGCTCGAGGGCGTCCCGGCCCGCGCTGACACGACGCCCATTCTCCGCGGCCGCGCCGGCGTCCTGCAGCAGCTCGGCCGGTGGAAGGCTATGGCCGAGCACTCCCGCCACGGCAAGACGTGCTCGCACAATGACGTGAACAAGATCTACTAAGACGTTGGTTGACGTCACCGGCGGCGGTGTGATTGGGCCGGCTGGCGAGTCTGAGTCCGATGTACATATAGCGCTGACTCAATAATACTTAAGATGTAATTCTAGCACAGTGAGAATCGTGAATATGCATGAGTATGAACAGTGAGTATGAGCAGTAAGTATAAGCAGTGAGTATAAGCAGTGAGTATAAGCAGTGAGTATAAGCAGTGAGTATGAGAAGTAAGTATGAGCAGTGAGTATGGGTAGCGAGTATGGCAGTGATGAGCATTCGTAATTTGTATGAGTATCTATGAGTGTGAATCAATGCCCATTTATGAGAACCTCTCTCAAATCCTCAATGCAGATAATATTTCGCCCTATTCATCAGTCGGACCGGACTCTACGGGCGCCGAAACCGGTATCCGTACGCTATGACTGCCGCCCGCCGGCTGGCGACGGAACTCCACAGTAAGCAAAGCCCCTTTTTATGGTTTAATTAGCGGCGCGGCGGCGGGAAATTGGGCACCGCAATTGTTTTGGTGTTGCGCGTTCTGCCCCAACAGAAAAAAAAAAACCCCCGAAATATCTCACACCGCGTCACTCGCAGGGAACCCGCTGTCCTTCCATCCGCACAACCAACGCAGGCCAGTCGCAGTTCGTCAAACATCATAGAAAACATCACGACCGTAACCATGGCCCAGAAGAAGCACAAGTACGAGTTCGGAGGCCCGTAAGTTTCCCCACACTGCCGCCGCCCGCGCCGGTCCGTCCCCTACGGCTAACCTTGCGCGTGCGTCCTCTTGTAGCCCCGGCGCCACCGCCATTGTCTTCGGGCTTCCCGTCCTCCTGTGGACTTTTTTCTTCGTCTGCAATGACAAGACCGGCTGCCCTGCCCCTTCCACCCTGAGCCCTCGGACCCTGACCTTGGAGAAGCTCAAGGCCGAGACCCCATGGCCCGCGGTCGGCATCTGGGGCTTCTGCACCTGGGAGGCCATGGGCTGGACGCTGGCCTACTACCTCCTGAGTCTGGTCCTCTACCGTGTCCTCCCCGCCCAGGAGATGCTCGGCACAAAGCTGGTGCAGTCTGGCCTGCCTCTAAAGTACCGTTTCAACTGTGAGGCCACCTTACCCCCGGTATCGTCCACGGGGACATGCGGCTGACATCTCACCACAGCATTCAACGCCTCGGTCGTCCAGCTTCTCGCCTTGGCCGCGGGGACTTACCTCCAAGGCGCCGACTTTGTCGTCTGGACTTACATCTCGGACAACTACCTCCAGCTGCTGACCGCAAACATCATCCTCGCCTTTATCATCACCGTGTACGTCTACGTCGCCAGCTTTAGCGTAAAACCCGGCAATCCTGACCTCCGCGAGCTCGCCGTCGGTGGCAACACTGGCAGCCTGATCTATGACCTGTACATCGGACGTGAGCTGAACCCACGCATCACCCTCCCCCTCTTCGGTGAGGTCGATCTTAAGGCTTGGCTCGAGATGCGCCCCGGCCTGACCGGCTGGATCATCCTCAACCTCACCTTCTGCGCTAAGCAGTACCGCTCCTATGGCTACCTCTCCGACAGCATCATCTTCACCACTGCCGTCCAGGCCTACTACGTCCTCGAGGGTCAGTTCATGGAAGCCGGCCTCCTGACCATGATGGACATCACCACCGACGGCCTGGGCTTCATGTTGACCTTTGGCGACATCGTCTGGGTCCCCTTCCTCTATTCCACCCAGACCCGCTACCTCTCCGTCCACCCGGTCCACCTGGGCCCGGCAGGCATCGCCGCCGTCCTTGCCGTCTTCGTCACCGGCCTGTACATCTTCCGCTCCGCCAACAACCAGAAGAAGGTGTTCCGCACCCAGCCCGATCACCCGAGCGTCCGGGACATGCCCTTCCTCCAGACCAAGCGCGGCACCCGGCTGCTCACAGGCGGCTGGTGGGGCCGCTCGCGCCACATCAACTACTTTGGCGACTGGCTCCAGGCCTCGCCCTTTAGCCTGCCGACCGGTGTCGCGGGCTACCAGATCCTCGCCGCCGGCAGTGCCGTCTCGGGCGCCGTCACCATGCTGGACGGCCGCGAGGTCGTCCAGGGCGCCGCCCGCGGTTGGGGCATGGTCTTTACCTATTTTTACGTCCTGTACTTTGCCATCCTGCTCATCCATCGCGAGGGCCGGGACGACGTCGCTTGCTCCGAGAAGTACGGCGAGGATTGGGACAAGTACAAGAAGATCGTCAAGTGGAGGATCCTGCCTGGGGTCTACTAGATCAACAGCATGGCGGCAGACTACTGCCTTCTGGTCGATTCATGGCGAAAATAGCCAAAGGAGCTGTATATTCTTGATGCTATATTATGCTAGGTTGAACCAATCTCGCTGTGTTCCACCAATTGCTTCTGAATGAGAAACCTTATGCTCTCAACATCCGGAACCCGGTCTCTGAAATATTCACTGTCATCGGAATTGCCATTATTCTCAAACAGGGTCTCCATAATCTCTTCATGTAGCCCGGATACACAGATCTCGAGGGGTAACTTACCACCTAGAAATCTGGATAGCCCTAGGTGATCGTATTTGGCCTCACCCGAAGCTGTGCTACCCAAGGCGCTTGTCATCGCTCCGTTTCTCAGCAAGGCGTCGACTCCCTCCAAGTCGAGAAACGCAACGGCAACCTGTAACGGCGTGAGGGCGTAATCCTGCGAGTCTACCGGCGCCCCCGATTCAAGCAATTTTTGAACTACGCACCAGTCCTTGCAATCGCGCTGATGTGCGTGCCAAGGTATGTATGAGACAAGAACTGTCCGAAAATCAATGGCTCCAGCCCAAGAGTCAATGAGGTATTTAAAGATTGTAGGGTTTCTTATGCAATGCATCGCATAGAAGTCAACGACTGAGCCGTGAAAGTGCCACGTCCTGCTGTGTTCTGTGGGGCCGATATCATATAAGTCCAAATCCACTTCCAGGTGGATGTCAGCCTTGAGTATACTAGCAGCATTACTTTTCTGCAGCAGGAAATGCGACAATTTGAGGGCGCCACTCAGAAGCAGTTGAACCAGAGTGCGAATCTGAGGATCTGGCAGAGCATTCCAGGTTACCGAGTAAAAGGTGGGGGTGGTACCATATATAAAGGTCGTTGGATCTTCATCTTTGAAGCCTGCGAATCTGTGGAGGATGTCCAGAAAGTGGGCTTTCTCTGGCTCAAAGCTTATCACCAAGCTGGCAAGGCTGTGTTTTTCTGCCAAGAAGCTGTCATGGCGATCTATTAGCATTAAGGCAGAGAGGGCACAGTATGTCGGGAAATTCGGCACCCGCTCGTATTGCCTGCCATCGACATCTTGATTCGTAAAGTGGCCAGCGTCGGCAATGCTGAAGAACTGCGCTTGCTCAAGAATAAGTTCTGCTTGGTTGACCAGCATTTCGTCTTTATCAAAAGCAAAGAAGCGGTTGGGCTGGTATCGACGGGGGGAGGCCAGATATTCGAGAACGGTATAATGAGCAAATGAGACGTGTTGTTGTTCACCTGGCTGCCCGTCAAGTTTGCGGATTGTCTGCAGCTCGACGGTGATTAGGCATCCGCAGAGTTCGCGAAGTAGATCGATGTCGTACTGATATTCCCGAGCACAAGTATAATCCCCGGAAACGTCGTTCTCAACGGCGCCTAGGAGTGTGAGGCTAGGGATGGTAGGGCTGAATAATTTTTGGTTAAAGCAGATCCACCGCATAGCTGAACGGACAACAACCGCATCTTCCTCGGGGATCGACTGAAAGATCCTGTCGTAGACATTGTCCAATGTCGTTGGGAGATTCCTCAACTCCCTCCTGATGGCTGTGTTTGTCCCTTTCACTCTTCGAAGGGAATCAATTTGACAGACTACCCATCGAAACCTGGCATCGTGAATTAGCTCCTGGTGTCATGCCCAAAGTAGGGGGACGGTTCGACGCACATTCCCTTTGCACCCGCACATAACGCTTCCAAAGTTTCATTTCGCAACTCGAGCGGCCAGTTCTTGATTTTTTCGTGATTTCTCAGGCGAGATTCGGTGTACAGTCGTATATCGGCGTCTAGATACGCATTCCGCATTGAGACTTCGGTTGAGACGTCTTGCATGGCTTTCTCGATGTCCAGGTATTCGCGACTGGTCGCTAACAGTCGAACTTTGGCGAACCTGTGATCAGTGGCGAGGTTCCGGATGACTTTGAGAAGCTCGTCTCGAGGTTTACTCTCATCAATGGCGTCAATCGTGATGAATACATGTTCGAAACGTTCAAGAGCTGCTTCGAGGGCTGACAACAAGCTCTCAGTGCTCGGTTGGCCTCCGTGTTGGAAAAGTTTCCAGAGAAGGTCAGGAACTAGCTGCGCTTGTCGGCAAAGGCGTACAAGAACCCATTTGAGGAACGGAGACGTCTCGTTTTGATTGTTTCCAAAGTAACAGTAGTAGTAGATACTGATTGACTTTGAATCAGCCGAGTCAAGTCTCTTGCAGTTTTCCTCCGTGATTGTGATGAGCTGCGAAGCCAAAATCGTTTTGCCGGCTCCAGGAATCCCGTGGATCCAAAGACAACGTATTTTCCCGTCGAGGAACTTGGGCCACTCCGGAAGACGCGACATCCAGTCACACGTCCCGGGCTCGTGGTTTTGACATGCTCGGTGGTGGATAGGCGAGGGGTCGACGTCTCTGAGCCATTTGTAGATTTCTTTTTGTTGAGATTCTGTCTCGTCTCAGCATCTTCTTGCGCGATAGTAGTAAGTTCTTCTGTTCCGACTTACCGGTCAGAATCTTTTGAATGTTTCTGATGCCATGGCTATACATTTATCCATCAGCATCTTCCTAAGGATAACACAATACAATATTTTCTGATATCTACGATTCAACGTTCTCTCGTTCGCTTCATCACGGAGATAAGGAGCAGAGATGGAGTAATTGACTAGACTTACGCGGCATCCGTGGTGAGCGCAAAAGTGATGGTGCCTTTATGTCGCGCGATATCTTCCAGCAGCTTTCTGGCCTTGGTTTCCTTTAATGGCCAAGCTATCGTCTCGAGGGTAAGTTGTATGCACTGCCGTTTGGATTTACCATGAACCTTCTTCTGATGCTGTTTGGAAGGGAGTAAGCCCAGTAGATCGGTAATCGCCTTTCGACATCCCTCGATCGGTCCGGATCCACCCGACAAGCCATCAAACATTGATTGTCCATTGTCGCATTTAAGTAGAAACTCCACATTCTCCAGAATCGTTTTCACTGCTGATGTCTCGACCAGGATTACTCGGAGATCCGACGGTGCGTCCTGGACACTTTCGATGTAGTGTTTGCAGATGCCGACCAGCCTATCTGCGATCTGTATAGTAGCGAAAACGCTCGCTGCGAGACTGAAGGGATCCGCCATGATGCGGCCACCGATCACCAAATTACAGCAATATCCTGTGAAAAGGAAAGCAAGGGAATTGAGTTCATTTGAAGGGTCGAAATACGAATCAGGCTACGAGCGGGGTTTTCTTACATTGATGGGAGTCTGCCTAACAACGATTGTGCCACAATCCTGCAACTTAAGCCCAATCAGCGCCTTCGAGCGAGCGCCAGTGAAACATCGATGAACACATCGACAAGCCAATGACATGATGACCAAGTATCCACTCAGAGAATAAAAACGCCTATGATATGTTGATCTTTAAACATGCATGTAGGGTGAGAACAAACAACGCTGACCGCTCACAAGTTGCCAGGAGTTTTAGCAACAATGTCCATAAGCACATCCCGCTCCGGCACCTGTCCCATCTTGTCCGGACTTCTCTCGTTCTGGAAGCCCTCGTCGGGACTCGCCCAGCTGTAGCCCTTCCAGACGCCCAGCGCCGGCCACATCTTCTGCTCCACCAGCGCCTTGAGCTTCTCGTACCTGGCGGTCGCCGCCTCGGCCTCGCTGCCCGCGGCGAGCCCCTCGAGCACATGGTTCCAAGCCGCCACGGTCTGCTCCAGCTCGGCCGTGTTCGTCACGCCCATGACACTGCCACCGACGCGCAGGCCGCTCTGGCCAGGCAGCTGGACGCCAAGGCCGGCTGAAGCGCCGACACGGGCGTACTCCTCCATCGACCAATGAAGGGCGACGGTCTCCAGCCGCTCTCCCGCCTCACTTGCTATCGTCGAAAGCTGCCTGCAGGCCGAGCGCAGCTCGTCCGGCGCCGGGTGCCACGACGCAATGACCCCGGCCTTGCCCTCTCCGCCCTCCGAGCTCGAAGGGATGCCAGTCGACGTGAGCAGGCCCATGCCCAGCATGCTGGCGTTGAGGACGACTTGCACACCGGCCTTCTTGAACCTCCGCAGAGGGCTCTGGTCGTCGTTGTGGTCGGGGCCCGCCACGACCTCGGGCAGGCCGAGGGTGGGGTTCTGGATGGTGAAGTGGCCGTAGCTGAGGATGGCGTCGAGCGGCTCGCCGGTCTCGGCCAGGACCATCTCGGCGAGGCTGCAGAGCACGTGGACGGGGAACCCGCTGATGCCGACGTACCGGATCTTGCCCTCGTCGCGCAGCTGACGCAGCGTTTGAACGGCGCCGAGGACCTCCGCCGGGGAGACGAACTCGACGTCGTGCATGTACACGAGGTCGAGGTACGTGGTGTTGAGGCGCTTGAGGGAGCGGAGGACGGAGTGGCGCACGTACGCCGGCGAGTAGTCAAACTCGTTGCCGGCGATGCGGCCGGCCTTGGTCACCAGGACGTAGGCCTCCCGGGGCAGCTTGGTCGCCGCGGTATGGGCAGCCAGCGCGTCGCCGAGCAGGACCTCCGAGGGGCCGTAGTACGGCGACGTGTCGAAGCCATTGACGCCGAGTTCGAGTGCCCGCGAGACGATCTGCCGGTACGGCATCTGCAGGGGGTCCTTGACGTGCTGGGTGTTGAAGGTTGCTGTGCCCAACAACAGCGGCGGGAGGACGGCCGCGACGGGCGGCCGGGCAGCCGGGTTGTGGGTTGTTGTGGTGGCCATGGCTACACAGGGGGGGAGGGGATGTTAATTTTAATTTGGCAAAGACAGGACAAGAAGAGAAGCGAGATGGTTCGAGGATGGAGCTACTTGAGATTGACGGAGGGGAAGGTTGCAGACTCTCGGGAAACGTGTAGCCTTAAGATGGATGTGAAAGAGGGCCAAGGTGTTTGCTCGCTGATATTGGAGGATCGTAGCAGGACTGGGCCCAGACGTATGGTCTAAACAGCCAGAACTGGGGTCTGTTGGACTCCTCAAGCAAGGAGCAGCAATGTGGTTCGAAGCATGGCCGGTGTTCTGGACAGGTATGGCGGCACGCCCCCCCTCCCTCTCTCTCTCTCTCTGCCGAGCATACGTGGAACCCCTCGTAGACTACCAAGGACTGTGTCTATCCGCCTCGGGCACACTCACCTCATCAATCCAATACTGGGAATCTCCGTTGCGTGGGGGCGATGTATGAACTCTTGGCGCGGGGCTTCCAGGCAAGACTCGGGAGTCCATATCGAAGTCCATGGGCCGATCGCACGCGCGTTCCCCGTCCCACAACTGCCACAAACTTTGCTGAGGTGGGTGACAGTTGTGAAAGGGTTACAATGGTGCTAACCCTCGTGCCCTCCCAGGATGGCGGGACCCTTGCATCGCACTCTTTTTCCTATCGGCCCTCTCCGGCTCAGCGGCATAAGTGGTGGGCTCCGTGCATCCATGCGTCCATCCATGTATCCATCTTGAGACTTCCCGTTTCAAGCCGCCGATCCTTGACTCGTCGACCATAGATAGTAGACAGCACAGACAGAGCCGATAGGCCTGGCTGTCGGCCCGGAATGCTAGTGGTGGCATCATCCACTGCGGACGCTAAACTAGTATTGTAATATAATCCCTTAGTAATTCTTCCACAACGGAGCCTCCGGGGTTGCGTTGTCCACTCCCTCAAGTTTCCTCTAAAAAAATAAAAAAAAAAGAGCCTTCCATCGTGGAGAGTCCTGCTCCGGGCGTCACCTTTGAGCTTCCTTTTCCTTGCTCAACTCGCAAGATTATATCGCCATAGGAGATCGATCTTCCGTCTCGCTGGCCCGAGATGTCTCCCGTTGCCTCGCTGGACCCGCGCGTGCGCGGCATCATCGATGCCGCCGCCGCCGAAGACGGCATACCCTTCCGGGCGAAGACGGCGCACTTCCACACCACGTGGGCGCGCACTTTTGCCTCGATGCCGGAGCTCTACATCCTTCCCGAGTCGCAGGAGGAGGTCGAGAAGGCAGTACGGCTCGCCCGCCGGTGTCGGCGGCGCCTCACCACCGTCGGCCACGCCCACTCGCCTTCGGACTTGACGTGCACGAGCAACTGGCTGGTCAGCCTTGACGGGTTCAAGAAGGTCTTGTCTGTCGACAGTAAGCACAGACCCCCCCTCTCAACGTTACAGCCGCGTAATCGCTGCCGTATGCTGATGCCCCCCTTCCAGAGGAGACCGGACTGGTTGTCATGCAGGCCGGCATTCGCCTCTGGCAGCTGACAGAGGAGTTGAACAAGCATGGCCTCTCGTTCCCCGTGCTGGGAAGTGTCAATGAACAGACCATCGCCGGCGTCATCAGCACGGGCACCAGAGGCAGCACCTTGAAGTACGGTCTGCTCTCCGAGGCCGTCGCATCACTCAAGATCGTTCTGGCCAATGGCGAGACGGTGTCATGTTCCCCCACTGAAAACACTGATCTCTTCCGCGGCGCCTTGCTGTCGCTCGGCGCCCTCGGCATCATCACCGAAGTCAGCTTCAGGGCCGTGCCGGCGTTCAGCCTGAAGTGGCAGCAGACCATCCAGGCGGAGAGCATCATGCTCGATACCTGGAAGCAGAACAACAAACTGTGGACCCAGTCCGACTTTGTTCGCGTGTGGTGGCTGCCGTACACCAGACGAGCCGTGGTCTGGAGGGCCGACATCGTTACCAAGGAGGACCTCGAGTCTGGCAGGGAGAAGAACCGAGATCCGCCAGTCGGTTACTACGACGGGCCCCTCGGCTATCACATATACCACAACCTCCTTTACCTGTCACGTTTCATTCCACGCATTCTCCCCTGGGTCGAATGGTGAGAACCCCCCCCCCCCGTTGGAAAGCAACACAGCGCATCCAACGGAAGAACGTAAGCTAACAAACCTCAGGTTCGTGTTCGGCATGCAGTACGGTTTCAACGACGGATACACGTCGGGGGCCGTGCAGCCCATGGACAAGGCCCTCTGGATGAACTGCCTGTACAGCCAGTACGTGAACGAGTGGGCGATCCCGCTCCACCGCGGCCCCGAGGCCCTGATGCGCCTCGGGTCCTGGCTCAACAGGCTGCAGCCGGGCGACCCCGACTATGTCGATCACGGCATCCCCTACTCGGCCGAGGGCCTCTACGTCCACTCTCCGGTCGAGGTGCGCGTCTGCGACGCGACCGTCCACACCAGCGCCGAGAAGGGCAACCGGCCGTTCCTCGACAGCACCATCAAGGACGGCCCGACGCTGAACCTCAACGCCACCATGTACCGCCCTTACGACCTCGACCCCCCCGGCCTGCGGCGCTGGTTCCAGGGCTTCGAGTGGCTGATGCGCGACCTGGGCGGCAAGCCGCACTGGGCCAAGAACTTCGACGTGAAGAACGAGGAGTTTGCCAAGTGGTACGGGGACGACTTGGTGCAGTGGCGCCGGGTCCGCGATGAGGTCGACCCCGACGGCCTCTTCGTCGGCCCCTGGCACCGCCAATTTGTCCTGGACCCCGCCACTCCCCGCCTCCCGTTCGAGGAGGTCGAGAAGACGAGGCACGACGCCGGCAAGGGGGTCACCGTGTACGGCGCCCGTGCGCCACTTGATGATATTGAGAAGGCCGAGAAGGCGTGAAGTACGTAGTAATGCCGAGACCATAGAAACCTGGTTACACAGCCAATCTTGTTACGGCGAACGGCGTAAGCAGTTAGACAATCAACAGCGTGCATCTTTGACCTTATCCGAAACCATGCAAGTTCTCAGCGGGATGGGAATAGTGAAGTGAAGGCCCGGGGCTAGAGAGACATTGACCGCGGTCGGGTTTGATGACACTCCTCCTCAGATAGACGAGGACCGCCGATCTCAACCTCGCAACGGCTCGGACTGCAACAAATCTGGCTAGTCGTCTTCTTGGTGTTTGCTTTTTTTTTTTTTTCCCTTTCTCCCTCATACCGATACTTCCAGCCACAAAAGGTCCTCGAATATTGGAGCATTTTCCTCTTTCGGTACGATCACAAACACGTTACAGTTTTACCCCCACGGACACGCAGGTTTGGGTTACAGCTGTCACCTAGGGAAGCGCTCAATGTCGACCCGCGCGGGAATAATACCATCGAATAGGCCAGCCAACTTGGCAAAGTAATACATAAGTCGCACTCGAATACCTCAAGGAGCAGTAGCGTCAAGACCCCTGCTCGTTCCTCTATCGATGGCCTTGGATTGTCGCAAGACGAGCAAGGCCGTGTTACATTCTCGGAACCGCGGTGACTGATATCTTGGTAAGGGGCTTCGAGAAGGCGGTTTGGAAGAAGGTAAAAAAAGGTTGTTGATGATCATCGTCATAGCAAAACATCAAAAGCGTCACAACACATGACGATAATGGCCCTAATAATGATGAATGATAATGATGGCAGCGTCCAGAAACAAACTGAGACGAGTGACAGAACCAGGGGGGAACATCTTTCACGGTGCAGCCGTCAGGTCCATGTCCTTGGGAAGCCAATTATGTTTAGAAGCGTCAGGAGAGCGGCGGGTCAATGGCAAACGCCAATGTTTGATGCACACGCCAGTTAATGCAGCTCGTACGTTCTATTCTACTCTTACCTACTTCACCTCGTTGCCGTAGGGCTGCAGCTAGAGCTGTATAGTTAGACGAGAATCCCAGCCGCGAGCTATATGCCATCGTTTATTATCTGCACCGTTGAGGCTTATTCTTGCGCCCGTACAAGCAAGCGACTCACACGCAAGGGGTTAGCTCTAATGCATTCTACAAGGGACTTGAGTCCTCGGCATTTCGGCCAGTCCCGGCTAGGCTGGCTGGCGCAGCAAAGCCGAGATGCCAGCGTCAAATGTGCTATGGTATCTGTGTTTCCCGATGCACTCGCTCTGCGGATTCAATCACTGGCTGGAGTCTTGTATTGATTGATATATGATTGACGGGTCGTTTGGCGAGATTCTCTCATACCGATCGGAAAGTGAGCGAGAACTCTAATTGATTGGTGCTGCGGGGAACATGTGCATGAAGATTCGGCTGCTGTCTGCCGGTTTTTTGCGCGCTGGTGCCAAGGGCCTGTCGCAGCGCCCATGATATCCACCAACATTCCCTTAATGGCAGGTCAATATCATGTTCGAGACATTCGTTGCACTGGAATAGAGGGCAAACAACGTGGTAGCGACCCGGCTTACACTTTGTTTGGCGATAACAGACAGATTCGATGACTGGAGACCGATGCGACGCATCCCCCAGATAACAAGCTCACCGCCCCTGCACGGCGCCTCTATAAGCCAAACTGAGACGGCTGGTGGAATACACGTGGGGGTACGAAGTATACGGATTGCAGATACGAGGGAGCCTGTGGAAACCGCTCAGAGCCAATGACAGACAGATACTGGCACATTCGATGAGGACCCCCCATTCCCTTGTCACGTCAGCAAATGCAGTCAAGGGTGCAATCCTACTCTGCATCTGGCTGGACACCTCTTGGTTTCCAGCGATGCCGACTCCCGAATCCCACACGACCGGGTCCCCCAAGTAAAGTTTCAGCGTAGGGGCCTGCACTGCACCGAGCAGCGTGTACTATGTTTTGTCGAGCTTTTCCGGCCTCGGTCTTTCCTTAGCCTAGAAAAGTTCCGCTGCTGCTCGAGTCACGACAGACGAGCCTCAAGGCGAGTGAGGGAAAAGTCGGAGGATCATGGCAATACGGGCGCTTGATAGCAAGGGGTTGAGACTGGCAGGGCTTCCACGGTACGTCCGATTCGTAGCAAGAACTGGTGAGGAGCGCGTCAGAGTTGAGGGCGCGCAGCATTCCATCAAGTTCATTTCCGAGCAAATCCATCAGACGCTGTGAAAATCCCAAGATGCTCTAGCACTTTCGTGCCGTGCCAGGCTGGCCTCTAACAGCGCCCGGAGCTCTGAATGGTCGAGGCCGTTCAAGATCCAAGATGCACGGGCTCGGGTCGGGGTCGGGGTCGCAACTCCGGAAATGAGGGGACAGACGGGATCCACGGACATCGCGCGCGGTAGCTGTGTAAGATGTGACAGTGGACAGGCAAGGAAGCCTACGAGAAGATATGATGCGTGCCAAGGGGCGGCACTGCGGGTGGCAGCCAACAGGATGTGGCCCAGGAGCCGCGTGCTGTGTAAGGAGGTCAGGGGCCAGGCTCCTGGGAGGAAAACAACATCTGCAACGGCTGGCTGTCAGGGACGCCAGTGAGACTTGCTAACTGCTCCATAATTCTGAATCCCGCCTGAACCTCGGAGACCTTATCACTCGAGGTCTTCTTATCTGGAGGGACTAGGGCGAGCTTGCGTGAGTGAGGCCGACCTGAGGGTGGTTTCAGCCACGCGGAGAGAGCGCTTGGGCGGCGTGATCGAGATGGGAACGGCCGCGGCTCGCGCAGCGTGGCCGCCACCCCGTTGCACACGCCATTCAGCATTGATCATGTTTGGCGGTATGCGATGTCTGTTTCGGTCGGCAGACGGTGTCGGCCGGAACAGTATGGCCCCCCTTAACCCCACGGCGTGCATCTCTGTCGTTGCAAACTTGCCACACACGGGCGGATCAGAGATTGGAAGAGGGAGAGAGACAGCAAGGCGAATAACAGCATTGCCATACATAGTAGTAGCAATTACAGAGGGGCTAAGTTTGCCGCAAAATGCAAGCAAATGACCGACAACGCCACAACTGAGGATGATCCAACGTGATCTGCGATACAAAACTTGCACGAGGCCCCCCAAGAAGGTTCGTCCGCACGAATACCAAGCAGCTGGGAACTTCAGATAAACATCACGTCGAACCAAAAACAGACGATCAGAAATTAACGTTGTGTGCCAGCCAGGAGATGCCAAGTCGCAAGGGGGGGGGTGGCGTCGTCTGTACATACATAGCATAACTAGTATGTGTGTGTGTGTGCAGGCCTGTGGCAATGCCAGCGGCTGGTTGGCCGCACATATACGTAGTACGTAGTATATACCACGCCCACGAGAACTGCCGACACTGGTAAGAGTACCCGCCTGCAGCTTGGCACTTTGTGTGACTCTCGAGGTGCATCAGGGGTTCCCTGCTGCCAAGTTCAGGTCAGAACAGACGGTTCCTCCCGACCAGAAAGTCGGGTCCAGTCGAGTCGCTCTCCAAAGTCCAAGCCAGACCCCCCCTCCCTGGACCCGGCTCAATATACCCAGAATGGTAGCCGATTGACGACAGGGACGACAGGGGCATGAAACAGGGCTTCTATTCGCCCCCCCAAAGCTTACGTGGTAATCGTTGCTACTTACCTAGTATGTGATGTTGCATGTGGGTTCCCGTCAGTGTGGCTGGTGAGCAAAGATGCCAGGTCAAGGAGGCTCTGCGAAACCTAGCTTTCTGGGCATTCATCTATTGGGTAAAGCTACCACGGCATAACCCAAACGACGATATTATCGTCCTCTCTCTCCCGCAAGCCCTTTGTCCGCCCACGTTCCGAATCGGCCGCTTCCCCCCTTCCTTTTCGTCCGCGTATGCACATCCACCTGGCGCCAAACTTGGACTCCAAAGCGCTGTTTCAAACGAGCAATCAGCTTCTGCCGAGGAACAGGTAGCATCGTCCCATCGCAGTCGAAGTCGTCTCCTCTCTTGGTGCGGCTGCCATCCAGTTCCAACTGCAGTTAGCCCGACGAATTGAGGCAGCAGCCGTTTCAGGCACTGTGCACGATTCCGTCCAAGAGAAGAGAAGAAGTAGAAGAAGAAAAAATGAAGGTTGAGAGAGGTTCCATACTCAGGGATCAGACGAGAGCAGCACAGAAGTCTCACGGAGCTTTCAAGGTTTGGACGGTACTCAGCCAGAACCCGTCCTACTGCGATCGTGATAAGCCATATGCACTTCACGCGCGCTTGCCCAGCGTCTTTCTAGTATATCTACAACATGTGGTCCTTGACTCCTTCTTGGCAAGCCGCGATATGCATCTACAGGAGTATCTCTGATATATATTACCAATCTCACCGGGTAGGCGCCGAGTTGGTCAACATTAAAGTTTGCTCCAGTCGTATCGAGTCGTACCTTGCGTGTTGTCACCTTCGTTAGACGGAGATGAAGGCAGTTTGGGGGATATGGGCCAAGACCGGCCGCCCGCCCGCCCCTTGCCCGTATCACGGGGACGGCAGATATCAAAAGCAAACAAGCCAGCAAGGACTCTATCCACGTCCCCCTCTTCCAGTAAAACTTGACCTCGTTCCTGACAGATGAGTGCATACATACGCCTCGCTTACTGAGGCTCTCTAGACAACGACATTGCGGGACAAACCAGCTGGCATCTGACATGTTGCTTGTGTGTCGAGTACAGAACCCCTCGCATCGAGTTGCCATTTGGATAGGTAAGGGGCCCGCAAAGTCTTGGCCCACTGTACATTGTGGGTTATTTTGAGACTGCGGCTTCGTAAACCCCCCCCCCCCTCCTGAGTCCGGCAGCCATGTCCAGAGTAAATGAAAGGCTTCTCTGGTACTCCCTCCCCTGTAAGAGCATGGCTCACCTTGCAAGAAGCCCGTTCAACCCCGGCCAAGGGCAGAACGCCACCACGATAGCGGCGTTGCCCGCGGCCCTATCATGGTTGATACTTTACGGCAGATCGCCCATGGTGGTATCGAGCCGGGGGGTTCCCTGCGCACCAAATTGGGTATCCGCTTTACGCCCAACTTATCAGCCTTTCTCTATTCACGGTGTACCCGTACACAAGAGATATCGAGAGTCGAGGTAATTGACCTGGCGTCTTTGATCAGTATTAAAGTCCGGATCTCCTCGCCCTCTCCCATGATGCAGTTCATTAGCATCGACAGGATCATCAACTACGCTTCACCACAATTTCTTCTTCTTCTTCTTCTTCAAGAATCAACCGGGTTGGTCAACTGATCTGAGCGGGACTCAGTTTACTGCTTTACCTTGATCAAGATCCAAACAAAGTTTCCTTCATCTTTTTACCAGAACTCCCTTCACAATGGTTCCTCCCCGTTCTGGATCTGCTGCTGGCATGCGCAGCCGTGGCCCGGTTGAGCTCAACGTCAACCTCGCCAAGTCATACGAGATCCGCGGCCCCAAGTCGCCCATGCCCAGGTCTCCGCTGCGGGATGCCGTCCACGAAGATCGTGACGCCCGCGCCTCGTACGAAGAGCGCCTCGACGGCGCCATTCACGTCCTCCGCACAGAGGCCAACGCCCTCGTGGCACTGACCCAGCTGTACTCGTCCGAGCGCGTCTGCCGCGACGGCTTCTACCGCTCCATCGAGGCCCTCTCCCGCCACCGCGACCACCGCGGCAAGGTCGTCTTCATCGGCGTCGGAAAGTCTGGCTGGATCGCCAAGAAGCTCACGGCCACCTTCAGCAGCTTGGGCCTCCCCGCCGTCTTCCTCCACCCCACCGAGGCCCTGCACGGCGATCTCGGCGTTGTTGGGGAGCACGACACCCTCATCATGATCACCTTCTCCGGCAAGACTCCCGAGCTCCTTCTCCTGCTCCCCCACCTCAACAAGAAGTGCCCCCTCATCCTCCTTACCTCGCCCACCAGCATGGAGACGTGCGAGATCGCGAAGCAGCGCCCGGACCTGATCCTCCTGCCTGCCCCCATCCCCGAGTCCGAGAAGGACACCTTCGGCGTGTCTGCCCCAACGACGTCGACGACCATGGCCATCGCCGTTGGTGATGCTCTGGCATACGTCGCGTCCAAGGAGATGTACCCGTCCGTGTCGGCCGTCTTTGCGAAGAACCACCCCGGCGGCGCCATTGGCCAGGCCTTCAAGGCCAAATAGACATCATGTCGCGTCGTTTCCGTTTTTTTTCCCCCCACTATTCGAGGGCGGGGCGTCGCCTGGCACTGAACATTCTGGATATAGGGCCCAGAGCTCATTGCTCACAGGTTGTCCGATCTTCATTGTACATATATTCGGACGGAGTATAATTTGTTACACTGAGCGCTTTCCTTTGCACTTTCCTGTAGATCTCTTTAACAGTTCGATACCACAATCTGAACCTTGGCACTCTCTTGGACTGTCTTTTCAATATTAAAGATCAAATGCGGCATACTTTTCAGTTTCACTACTTGGCAAGCTGCCTTGGGAGGCTATCCCCCACTTACCGGTGACGCCTGTGAGTTTTGTGCTCAGTTCGCACATGTGCACAATGTCAAATAGCTTCCGCCCAGGGTCGCAAACTAGGAATCTAATCCACTCTGCCAAATTGAAACTGTTCTCATTTCCTGGAACAAGCAACATTATCACTTCTACGCAGTTGATCCGTTTTGCAAAAGGACACAGTCGCTCAAGAGCCTTCTGCTGTAGATGCATTCATTCCACCTACTATACAGCAATCATAAGAGCGACTTTAATGGAAATTCGCATACAAACTAATGTAAATTGACTATTAACTTTTTCATGCTCCTTACTAGTTCATTTCTTTTCCCCATTCGAATGTGTACGTACTTTATTGTTATCAGTCTACTACCGTTGTATGTTGAATTATGTGGGGGTTTTCTCTTTTCTTCTTCTTTGAAGTAAGATGAGCGGCAGTCTAGACGTTGTGTATGCCGTCACGCTAATGCAGGATCACTGTGAGACTGTCTCATATGAACAAGACAAACTTCCTCTTGTTTGTAATTGGACCTACTGATCCGCTTTCTCCCCCCCTACAAACCTATCGCACCAATCGATATTGTTAGCTATAGAGGACGCGCTAATCTCGTTGTATCAGCCCCCAGCTCGTCAACGTGCCGCGTTGCCGCGACGTCGCCTACCGCTTCCCGACTAGGGAATCAACGGGTCTCAAGAGAGCCTCAAACAGCACTTAACGTGTGCGAGATGTGCAACAGGCCGGTGGGCAACGGATTGCGCGGTATTATCTCCAGAAACATAAGACTTGGCATCCACCCGCGTGTGCCATTCATGGGCCTGTTTGGACTTTCCGCCGCTGGTATCCATAGGGGAGAACGTACAGTTCCTGATCCCATGCAGTCCAGCCCACGTCATCTGAAAGCCAGTATTCTCCCTCGCCTTGTCACTGGCAAGCAACACCATGTCGTGTCGCATTCCCCCCCTGATGATCACCCGTGCATACCGAGCAGTACTTACGAATGGTATTGTCCAACCAAGGATTGTGCAAGGGTATCCCTGGTCGATCCAGAAAATCTCGCCAACGTCTCATGGGCTCCATAACCAGGGTCTGCCGCCATCGGATGAAAGCGCCGAAAATGGTTGTTTGCATAGTTTAGTATACATGCTGTAGCTCCGCAGTGGGGCCTTGTTGCTCATGTTGATGCAGGAGCCCTCAGAGAGATTAATTCTGCCTGGGCTATCGCTGCAGCTACTATCCCAGTCGATCCGAACCGCTGGGGTTCCCGGCCGGAGGAGTAGCTCATCAGCCACCCCGGGCAGATGGCGGCTATGACAGCCTGTGCCATGTTTGGGGGCCTTCGCTGGGTCTTGGACGACGACGTCGAAATGAGGTGGCTCCAGCCCCTTACAGCTTGTGGTCCTGATAGGGTCGACCCCGTACTCGGCGGCCTTGTTTCCCTGCCTCTGCAGTTATCACTGCATGAGGCCCATCGTCGACTGATCTTTCTCTTCCTCACCCATCGCTAGGAACGATCAGTATGCACCATCACCATGTCGGTTTCTTTGCAAGTACCTGACTCTGCCAGGCTACAACTCTTCCCTTCTACCGGCCGGAAGCAGGCCAGATTCGCACCTCTCCCATCATCGGATCCTCGGCCACTGGCTGGTCGGCTTTCCCACATCAATCCTAGGAGCTCATGGATGCGAAGAAGCCAGCGCTTCCAGCCGCAACCGTTTAACAATTTCTCTCGCGTCCAACGCCTGAGCAGGCTCTCATACTACCCCGTCGCCAACGAATATATCGATGGCGTCTTCAACGAAAAGACAACGCTCCCGCCGCGCTGGTCATTTTACGTGCCCGACTTTGACTTCGACGTCAAGGAGTTTGACCAATATGAGAATCCCGAGAACGAGGAAGACGCGCCCACGGCGCTGAAGGCCTTCCGCGTCGACTTCTGGGACGGAGATCCGGATGACCCCCAAAACTGGTCGACGGCCTACCGCATCGTCGTCATTGGCATGTTCGCTCTGACTACGCTGGCCACCGGCATCTACTCCACAGCCTACTCAAGTGGCATCCCCCAGATGTCTGCTGAACTCAATATCACCAACCAGTCGCTGCCTCTGCTGGGCATCTCTCTTTACCTAGTTGGCCTGGCTCTCGGGGCCCTCATCATGGCGCCACTGAGTGAGACCTTTGGAAGGAGGCCAATGTATATCGGCGGCCTGAGCGTTTTCCTAGCGTTGATTCCAATTGCTGCGCTTGCTACCGACTTCACCATGGTGATTGTTGCGCGTTTCTTAGGGTAAGTTTCTCCTCTCATTCCATATCTGAAACCGTGAGGGCTAAGAGAACAAAGTGCTGTTGCCGGTAGTGTGATGCTTTCCAACGTCGGCGGGTCCATCATGGACATCACCAACCCCAAGTATCTTCCCCTTGCGATGTCGGTATACTCTTTCGGTCCTCTCAATGGTCCCGTACTCGGACCGCTCATGGTAGGTAACAGTTCTCGAGCGCGCATGAAATTCATCTAACAGCTCGGACAGGGCGGATTCTTGGTCGAAGCTTATGGCTGGAGATCACTCAACTGGATGTCCTTGATCTCAACAGCCGTTGGGGCTCTCTTCATCATGACCGTTCCCGAAACATACAGGCCCACGCTTCTCCGGAAAAAAGCAGCCATGAAGCGGAAAGATGAGAATGACGACCGGTACTGGTCCGACTTTGACGACACGGTGCCCATCTTTCGCAGAATCAGGACTGCTGTTTCCCGACCTTTCATCCTCTCGTTTACTGAGCCCGTTCTTATGTTCTGGAACATTTACATCTCCGTCATCTACGCTATCGTCCAGCTGGCATACGTCGCGTTCCCCATCGTATACCGAACAGAACGTGGCTGGAGCACGGCCATTTCTGGGCTCGCGTTCATCGGAGTCTTTGTCGGCATCGCGCTGGTTCTCGCGACGGAGCCGCTGCTGAGAAAGCTGGTAAACCGACAACCAAAAAACCCTGAGACTGGCCAGCTAGAACCAGAGGCCACCGTCCTTCTCATTTGTATCGGTGCAGTGCTGGAGCCAATTGGCCAGCTTTCGTTCGCGCTCACTTCCCTACCCATAGAAATTCCCTTTTACTGGAGCGTCTTGTCCGGCGTCCCCTTCGGATATGGCTTCGGCCTTGTCTTTATATACGGAACCAGCTACATCTCGAAGGTTTTTGGTATGTACGCCACGTCCGCGTCTGCGGGCAACCTTGTTTTCCGATCAATCTTGGGCGCCGTGCTGGTGCTGGTGGGCAAGAGCATGTACGCTGCCCTGACGCCGCGGATTGCGGGCATTACTGTTGGCGTCGCCGAGGTCGTGCTCATGCCGGTCCCTTTTATTTTCCTCAAATGGGGCAAGAAGATTCGGCAGAAGAGCAAACTCATTCGGACCTTGGAGGAGCAGGCGAAGAAGATGGCATAATATTCCCTCTGTACTGCGGTAGACCTGAAGATACCCCTTTCCTAGGTCACTGCACCGTGAACCAGTCACATTCTTGTAGATTAGATTTTCTCATTCACTGTAGATATAAAGAAAAATTCGTGTTTGACGAGCTACTATCACGACCACCAGTATACTACTGTCATTGCGCAATATTCAAATTAGACATACGGTGCGCTGATAGAAGCAGCTCATTGACCACTCTCTGCATGTCTAATGACCGTGATTCCCTTTGTGTGCAAGCAAGAGGTCCAACATGCGCCTACGTAATCGGCTGGCAGCCACACAACCAGTAGTCAACCGTCTCAGTGAACCAATCTTTGAGAATTGCATATGGTTTCTTGCATGTGAAAGTTTGGCCCGACGTCGCGTATCCGAGACTCACTGATCTCGAACCCACGTCAAGTAAAGGCAGTAGTCTAAGCTGCACTTGCCTGTAAAGCGAGCACATCTCATCAAACGTGATGGTTGCAGTCTGGAATATCCCGTACCCTGCTTCATATTCGGATATTGCGGTAAGAGAATATAGCGTATATTTTACAGCCGCATCCCCGACGCAGAGCCAAAAGATCATCTCGAACGTGTCTGAAATCCAAGATCAGTCAAATCCCCAGTCCGCGACATATCGTGGTGTTTTGGGTAAAGTACTATAGATCACGTTGTAAATGTGGGACGATGCTTAATAGCGCCAGCAAACAATCGGATCCTTGTATCCGTATAGCCCAGGGCTGCCGAGACCCTTGCTTGGTCTTGGCTTCTCCGACTTTTTTCGGAAATAGAACGCCCCCATAAGGCAAGGCGATACGCACGCCCCGTATAAAATGCAGCCGACCATGCGTCAAGCATTGTGGTGCCTCGTGGTCGGCTGAATTGACATGGTATGCTGTAGCTTAACCCTGGCGAATATCTTTGCTGTCATTTGGATATGAGACCAAGCCAAGCTCTTGATACGCCAGTTTCCACTGGGCATTATGAAAATAACACATCTCTAGTATTGTACGTAGACTTTCGGGCTGTGACTGGAAGGCCGCATATCCCAGTCATATTGAGATTCCATCTTTCCCGAGGCAATATGTTATTAACAGCCAGTCAAACAGGCCAACCCTGTCGACTTAATTTATAGTGTCTTGATGCACTTTATCTTGGGGATTTATTAAAGATTGGCGATCGAGTCTTTTAACCGGAAAGCCAAGGGTTTCAGATAAGGTTGTAGTCGTATTGTATGTTACGTGAATTGATGAGACGCGTTGCCCTGCCATGCCGATAGTAACATGTCTGGCAACGATGCGAATGTACCGCGCAATGGCGTCACATCGATCGCAAGTGCACGAAAGTTAGTCTAACCAAAATGGCTGAAAAAAATCTCGCTTAAACATATCAATTCATTGGCACAATGGGATGGCACTGCTGATCTTGTAACTGAGAATTCAACGGACTGGCAGCAACCGTTTACTGCCATCCAGCAAAGCTTGGCATCATAAGCAAGGCAACAAAAATAACTTGAGATCGAACCATCTCCAAGCCCTCTAATTTTCAGTCTGCAGGCGGTTTCGTGCCAAGACTTCCGGAGCCAAAGAGCTACAAGGCAATTAATCGAACATCAGCCAATCTTACATGTACTATGCCTTTTCAATCTAATAGCAGCGACACCAAGGGCCTAACCGTCCTATCCGAGATAAAGTAGCCTGGGAAAAGAGGTCAAACTGCCAAGGAAAGTGAATCCTCAATCAATGTAAACGAGTACTGGTCCATTAACTTGTATTATACATGGATTGATCATCAGAACTTTGCAGTCATTTACAGGTTGTCCTCACTCCGATGAAGTTAGTGATGTTTTGGTTTGCTTGCCCGACCAGACCAGTGAGAGGTGGACTAGTGCTGAGCTTGTACTAGCTTTTAATGCGCCCACAAAGATCACTGCCTTCTGTTCCGAAGACCCCACATAGGGGGCTTGGTGCCATCTTGTAGATCGCGCCAAATTTGTTATCTCGTGACTGAGCACTAGACCTAGTCAACCGCCGTCATGTCAGCACTGACGTTCCAGCTCCTTTCTCACGAGCTAGGGCACACAGCAGATAGGGGTCATATGTAAAGTGAAGAAAAGCTTGACTATAAGAAATAGGTTCTCGAGAGTAAGGGCCCATAGAGATACAAGTCCCAAGGTCGGTCATGTGACATCGGAAATAACGTGGCTGATGCAGTCAGCCACACTGACGTGAGCCTCCTGTGATATCCTTCTTGATCAGCGGTGTCGCGACCTCAGCAGCCAATCAACCGTGACTTGAGCGTGAAAATATACCTGTACTTTGCGCCACCTCCAGGTTTCTAGCTCTATGACGAAGGTGGCGCCTCTAGTTCTCATAAAAAAAAGAGGATTTCTCCCTTCACCACCGATCATCCAGGTCTGCGATAAGTTACTTACAGACAACAGTAAAGCATTAGACACTCGTGATGGATCGCGCAAAGCTCATCCACACGCTTGCATCGGCGCAAGCATCGCCGAAGAGGCCGATATTGACTCTCGTGAACGGCGATACCACATGGCTCGTTTCCGTCCCCCGGACCGCCGGCACGAAGGGTAAGGCTTTCTACCACATCCTCGTGGATCCTTGGCTCGAGGGGAACGCTGAGATGGGTTTCGGCTGGGTCATACGTCTGCAACTCAAGGAGAAAGCGGCGCTCGGCAACATCGAGGCCATCGAAGACTGGATTCGGGAAGTTGAAACGGTTTGCGGGATCACGGACGGAGAGCACGAGCAGTGGCTCGATGCAGTTCTTGTCACGCATGCCAACTTTGATCACCTGCACGAGCCGACGCTGCGGACCCTTGGCCAATCGGTACAAGTCCTTGCTGTGCAGGACGCGGCGAAGATAATATCGGCAATGGGCCACTTCGAGAATATCATAGTGGTGCCGGATTTCGTCCCCGGCGGGGAGTGGCCGGCCACGCCCGATATGCCCGGATCGTTATCGATTTTCCGGCTCCAGAGCAAGGGCGACAAATACACAAGGCTGTGTCACGCCGTGATCATCGGTATCCCGACCGAAGATGGGAAGAGCGAAGCGATCCTGTACACCCCGCACGGCGTTGAACCGGAGGCGGTGGAAGCCGCCAGGAAAGCGAACTCGGACGCGAGTTTTCTGGCGATGTTGCATCCACTTAATAAGGCCGGCAGCATGGGCGTCATCTCGAGAGGGGTGAAGGAGGGCCTGAAGATCGAACGAGAAAATTCCGTCCGTCACTGGGTGAACACGCATGATGACAATATTAGCTTCACGGGGGTCTTATCTTATGTAATGCAATACGGGCGCACGACGTTGGAAGAGGGTCTCGAGCAGGAAGCCAGGGAAAAGGGTCAGGAACAAAGGAAGCCAAATTACGTAGTGGTTGGCAATGGTGGAAGTCACATCTTGACTTGAGAAGGCGTTGTTACGTGGTTCGAAACAGTCTGTCAGCCATTGTTGACGAAGAGTGTGGCGTCAATAGGCGTGCACATATTCCAAGAGAACAGTCCGAGTCTTGCTTTTTAACATTTTTAGAGACTTGGCGATCACTGAGTCTAGGATCCGAGCGAAGAAAGCAAATTGAACCAAAAACTTGACTCTGAGAATAGGCAAAGAATTCTCCTCGACGGGGAATTGAACCCCGGTCCCCTGCGGATCGTTTGATTGACAAGCAGATATCCTCACCACTAGACTATCGAGGATTGAGATTGGAGACCGCTGGGGATGCAATGTGCTAAGTAGCTGAAACGATACTCCATCTACCTACAGCCAGGTATTCAAAGCACTAGATAAGTGTAGGAATCTTATGCTCTCTTTGTTAAGATATCAGTTTCCATAGGAATGTTGACGGCAGTGGTTCTAGTAGGAGTAGATAGTTTTATTACTTAGTAATGAAGAGCTGATTTCTTTTAACAATGCTAACTAAGGATTCTAGCAGTAACACACCCCCCCTAACAGTTGTTCTGGATCTGACAGGGCAAGTAGGCTAGATATACTGACGTGTAAGGAGACACAGCAACGTCACTAAGATACACAGCAGAGAAGTAAAGTGTAACAGTAAAGCAGCAAAGGGTAACAACTAACAAGCAAGTAAGTACAAGGCAATAATAACATAGACAAAAGGAGGTATAAACAAGTCACGTGTCACAGGACAAGTGCTGAAGACAGTAGATAGATAGCATAGGCAGTGGATAACTCCACTAGCACGTGTTCATTCACGTGCCTATAGAGTATATATCCTATTGCCTAACGCCTCCTATTAGGGAGGGCAACTTCAATACACTATCTACTCACATACCTATCTTTTGTCCTGTGTTAATTGTTTAGCTCTATGTTATTGCTCGCCTTGTTTCACTGCTCTGCTGTTACACTTCACCTTTGCACTGCGTTACTTCACGTCACTATTGCAGACTAGCTTCTCCTGTTAGATCCTCAACGGCTGGCAGGAAGGCTGTGTCATCACGGTTCACTTTAATAATCCCTTTGTTAGATAACACAAGGCAATAATCTAATATAACTAAAGGCACGGGACTTACTAGAACTATTTAGGGTCCTAGGGTATATACCACTTTAGACTATAATAAGCTATTAAAGGCTAGTGTAGTACTAAGTAAAAGAGTTAATAATGCCGTAGTAAGAGGTCCTTAGTAACTATTATTTTAATTTATCCCTCTAGAAAACTCTAAAGCTGGTTTGAAACTCCTTTTATATATTGCCTAGTGTAATGTTATCCTGCTCTGCTGCTGTCCTAGCCCCTACCTGGTGCCCCCCCTGGCACCCCGCCCTGAGGCTGTCCCATTCGGCACCTGACACAGTGGAAGAGACATGGCCTTCTATGACTACGAGTTGTGCTCAGAGCAGCAGTATGTCACTCATCTTGGCCTTTGCTTGTGGTTGCGGGTCACAGAGTCGTCCTAAGTAATCCTTACCTGAATGGGCCTTCTATATTTATAACGAGATCGGCATGCTCAAGAAAAAGTCCCGTGAATCTTAAAGACCCGATTTTGGAGGTGCATCTTGTGCTCAAGCGGCATCTCATAGATCTTACACTCTATCTTGTCATCGGCTTTTATCTTGGACAAGTGCTTACGTTTGAAGGGCTTTGTCAGGTTAGTGGAAGGGTAGAACTCTTGGATGAGATCTTTTGTTTCAACCACTACGATCACTAGGAGTTGACTTCCGATGAATATAACTGCTTGAATATTATGCGCGTTGCAAAAACTTGGAATCCGAGTCGGTAGCAGGATGACCGATATTTAAACGCTTTCTATGACATCCATCAAAAATGTGCATAGTGCATAACACGATAGCCAGATCCAAAGCGAAGTACAAGAGAACGCAAAAAGAAATATGCAAGAAGTATGCAAGAAATATGCAAGAAATATGTGATGACGCCAATGGCGAATGACAAATGTAACAAGGACTAGTTTCCCAACGTCAGGAATGATGCAACGATCCTCAATGTCTAAGCTCAAAGACCTCGTCAAATCCAAAGGAACTCCTATCGAGTGATCCAGAGTAAGCGTCAATCGTGAAAAGCTTGGACTTCTACTGCGAAAGAAATATCAAGTGGGTAGCGCGACGCGGCTGGGGAAGAAACGGTTGCGAAACATGAGTCCCAGTTTGGCGATGGGCACGCTGACACCATGAATCACCTATTGGATGTCAGTATACTTTGAAAATGACAGAAATAGGGGTTTGCATAAGAAGCACTCACGATACTGCAAATAATCAAGAACCAAACGGCGACAAGCATGGTATCACCTAGCGTCTTCGCATCTGCGCGTTGTCCATCGTTATCTGTAAGTGTCTCAAGGAACTCGAGTCCAATATAAAGGTAAAAAATGGCAGAGATGCCGATCGGGCCAAAGTATCCGACAAACAAAGCCTGCGACGGACCGCGGATCTGGCGGATGTAGCGATGCAAAACAAGGATAATCGGAAGTCGTCGAAGAAGAAGGACGAGGAGGCCAAGAGCACAAAGCCGCCAAGGCTGGATCAGCTCTGACGTCCAGAATCTCTCCCAGGGGCACACAGCGCCCAGCCACATGAAGATGGCCATGTTGAGCAGCATGTCGATGGCGTTCTGAATCGGGTCGTCCAGAGTCTTGAGGCGGAACCAGTCGTTCCAGTTGAACGCGTTTCCAGCGATGAAGCATGCCAGCACATCGTCGGTGCCCACCATTCCACAAGTACCGAGGATAAAGATGGCCAGGCCGATTGGGAAAAGTCGAAAGCTCTCCCTATCCACAAATTTGCGCCGCTCGGCCCAATGGAGCAGCTTCTGCCCGAGCCAGCCGACCACCCAGCCGTAAAAGACACTCATCAGCACGACGTAGATGCAAGTCTGGCCGAAGAAAAGTCGAATGGCCGCGGCGAATCCCCCTTCACTCGAGGCGGGATTGCCGTCGCTCTCAGTATACTTGATGAGGTACAGCGCGAGGTAAAGAAAAGGGTAGCCTAGTCCATCGTTGGCACCCGATTCGGCGACGATGATCTGCTGAAGATCTTCGGGGACGTTTTGGTCGGCGAAACGGCCCTTCAAGATTGTGGCTGAGAGAACCGGGTCCGTCGGGGTGACGCAGGCGGCGATGGCAAGAGCGTGCACAAGAGGCAGGTCCGGGACAATAAACCAGACCACGGCGCTCGTGCATGCCCACATGCCGATCATAACGGGCCCGAGGAGCAAAGAGAGAGACTTCCATTCCTTACGGAGGTAGCGGCTGGGAAGCTGCACGCCGGCAATGACGAGCTGGACGCCAAGGACGAGACGGCTGAAGTTGAGGGTGATGGAGGCCACGGCATCGTCTGAGTCGGCGTATTCGCTGGGTTTCAGGAATCCAGCAACGTGGGTGAAAGCTACGCCTCCCAGAAGATAGACAACTTAATTGCAAGTCAGCGGGCCGGGATGGAACGATGTGGTGTCCTGCAGCTGCTGAGGGCTAGATATTGCGCTGTAGTAAAGGAGTTGGACGTACGGGCTTCAGACAGGTAAAGTGTCTCCTTGATCAGGAAAGAGAAGGTGCCGAAGAGGACGAGCCAACCGCCAAGCACGCTAATGACGGCGTTGAAATTTGTGACGGCGGACCAGTCCATCTGGCTCACTGGGCAGGCTGTATGTAGGTCTAGGGCGGCTTGCTGTTTGGTCGGAAAGCCTTGTGATGGACTGCAGGCTGAGTATGCGGCGGCCGCAGGAATGTGGAAAAAGAATGCCTTAATGTCAGAGGGTTGACTGACGTAGGCGCCACTCTCCTTTCTCACAGCACCGAAAGCATTAATAGAGGCCAGGGGAAGGAGAAAACCAACAGAAAAGCCCGCGGAAAACAGAAATGACAACACTTGATCGCAGAGGCTAAAAGGAAAATAACGGTCTGGGAAAATGTCACTTGACGGGGCTGGGATGAAGCACATGGGTAGCCTGTCCAGCCTTTCTAGCCTTTCTTAACATAGTGTTTGCAAATCAAGACATTCGTAGTCAGTATTTACGTGTCATGCAATGGCGCGGGCGGTGTATGGACGTTAATGGAAGGGGAGGCAGCCTGGGGCAGGGGTGAGACCTTGGGTCACATGGCTTGGAATGAGGTATTTTAAGTCTAGGTACTACGTAGTACCTAGTGTGTCGGACGGTCGTAGCGGGCGCTCAGCTTGCGCCAAGCCCGGTCATTCTGCGGAGACATGTGCCCTCTTTGTGCCAGTTGTTGAAGTGGGCAATGCAATAGCTTAATTCAGACGAAGATGAGGCAATCCGGCTGAATGTCGGATACGTATATGGGAAGAATTCCGCTAGCCGAATGCCCAAAATCCGATGGCGAGTACATTTGGCTACTGGCCAAAAGGCTGGCCAGCAGCTGAGGAGGTTTTCCTGGATAATCAGACACTCATATACACAACAAGGATATCCTATCAATCGACGTACTTCGACACCACTGAACCTGGCAGTCTATGAATTTGGACGAGGTTGTTCTTTGCCGCGGCAGATGTAAGATCGACACCTGTGTCTGGAGAATGATTCTCAAAACTACCTACCAACGGTAGATACATAACAAACCCCGCTCTGTTCGAAAAGGGGGGGTCATATCTTACGTATGTTAGATAACAGATGCTGATCCAATGCAATGCACCTCGGGCTCATCGATTAAATAGTGAATATAAAAGCCTCGGGGTTTTTTTTGTCCCAGATTCTTTCTGTGTGAGCGGTTCTTTGAGGTGGCCCCATCGAACCGCCAATAGCCAGAATCCCTAGAGAGCAGAGGTATCTTTGAATTTAAGTGATGCCCAAGCAAGTTACTAGATAAACCCTTCTCGCCTCTTGACCAATTAACTGCCGACGAGATAGTATCCCTTATTGACCTTAGTACTCTATACGACCACCCTTTCTGACATGTTTAGTAAATACGATCTTCCTTGTTCTCACTTATGTGGTCGACTCTGCCTTGAACTTATGGTCTTTTTACCAGCCCAAAGCGTTGTCAAGCATAGCTGCGCTACAAAGCAAAAGCTTTAGTAATGATGTAGGTGCATTATTTTTTGCTCTGCAATATATAATTATGTAGCCGATTGGGTCGTAACACAGCTCCCGTTCAACCAAAGCGAATTTTATTAGCCAGAATCGTAGGTTCACTTGCTTATCTCTATTTTCTACTGTGAAAGATAGTATATCACAAAGCAGGGTCACTAAGTGGGAGATATTGAGGTTGAAAGTGGCTTGATCTAGCTTAATTAGATATCTAACATGAATTTAGTATATGCGGCGACTTTGCGCAGGTAACTAGTCGCAGGGAGTGAGGCCGGTCCGGAAGGCGTCGTGATAGACTAGGTTGGCACAAACCTCGCATTGCTCTGCGACAAAATACTGTCGTCTTAGCGGAGTAGTCTAAATTAAGACACTGGGCCGTTGACGCAGCAAATTCCAAGCGTGCGTGTTTCTGATTTCAACACTCATGCACCGCCGATGGTCTTGGTGGGAAAATGGTTCCGAGAGACTTCTTCCATAGGCATTTTCTCGTCGCCATCCTGTTGCAACGCATCGGAATGACGCTGGCCTTCGTTTGGCAGCATGATGGCACGGTCAAGTGTATACGGCAGTCCGCGGTCACGACCACGAATCATCATGGCGCAAATGACGAGCTTGCCAAATGCCGTGAACTCTCCGCAGAGCGATGTCATAACGGAAGGATGTCCTAAGGACAACCCCACGTTGCCACTACGAGTTAAGTGAGCGATACAGAACGAACAACAATGGAGTGGGTTACTTGCTATGCGCTGACGACCTCGAAGAAGACTGGAAACACTGAGAAGGCCTGGAAAAGTAAGGTTAAGCCGTATAAAAGGCTGCTGAGCGGAGCACTTACTGGTTCGTTCAGGTCCATGATTCTTTTGGATTCTGCAATACAGATGCAGAACGTCCCGAGGAAAATGTACCATAGATCGAAGCTGAGCTGGTTCCGTACGTGGGTCATGACATATGAAGCGCCGTCATTCTCGTCAAGGTGACTGTCGGCACTGTAGACGCCAAGAGCCCTCTCTTCGTATGTATTGGAGGCACGGATGCTTATGGCTATTGGAAAGACAGCGATGTACATCATACACAACAAACTAAACTGCACGGCAGGGTTGACCAGAGCAAGATTCAGAGTCGAGGTGCCGGTGTGCCTGGCTGACGCAGCTTGGAAAAGAGCCGATAGTATACGAGGGCCCGTCGCGAGGTCGTTGACTGCAGGGTTGTCTAGGTCCAAAACAATGATCAATAGGACGTCGACAAAGTTCAGCATGAAGAGTATGCCAAACAAGATCCACGTCGGCCCGCTGGGAAAGAGAAGTGTGTAGCATCTTCGAGGATGGTCAAGAAGAAACTGGAGGTGTTGTTTCATGGGCGACTTCTTGCTTACCACCTTCGACATGGTCCAAATGACCAGTCGGAGAAGGATAGGGTAGCATGTGTTTCCAGCAAAAGCAAGGAATGTCATGACGAGCATCGGCCACGTTGCGTCCCTGAACGTGATCATTGAGTCTGGGGTGAGCGTAAAGCCCAGATTGTTGACCATGGTCTGAGCAGAATAGAAAGCCCACCAAGTCTGGCTTTGACCGTTGTCCGCTAACCATGCTATATACTTGGAAGGAGCGTGCAGAATCCAAGGCAAAAGACAGATAACTCCGAGGAGATGGAGCCCGAAGCAGTAACCTGCCATTAGATCAGCCAAACCTGTGTAGCAGAGAGGTGGTTATGCAGGCGTATACTAAAAATAATCTTGAGGAGAAGCTTCAAACTTCTGTACTCGATACCGCCGAGGAGCTCACGATCACGCTCGGTCAGATGAAAGAACTGGGAGTTGCGTCCAACGGTGACTTGGCGGGATAGGTTGGGAAGGTCTGACGGGCGTGGCTGAGTTGAGAGGTCAGATCGGCGAGACTCGCGTCCCGAAGACTTGGTTTGCCCGAGGACAAGAACGGACGAGGCAACCTTCTCCATCGAACGGGCGGCACGCATGGCAGGACCCTCGGGGAAATGCGACCTTCGGCGAGACAATCCTGTCGCCGACGGTCCAACTGGACGGATAACATCTATCTGGGTTAGAACTTCATGCCGGTTTCCTCAGTCGACATCATTTTTGTAGCATTGGCTCACCGTCATCTTTATCCATATTTTTGCCTATTTCAATCATAGGCTGGCCTATAGACGCCGAAGTTAGCTCGGGCATGACTACAAGATCAGATGTTCTTACCGTCGTCGCGGTCCCTGGGGCCAGGAACGTGCAAAAATGTTTCATCAGCTTGCTTGGATCGTGATTGGGAGAAGCTCTCGTCGAAAGTGATGGTGGTTGGCCGGGCTGGAGGGCTCGGATTCGTGGCTTTGTTTAGCTTCTCTTCCGCATCTGCCTCAGTAGTGCGGATGGGTTCCGTCTGACTCTGGGGGTATTTTTCAGCTTGTGAGGTTCTTTCATCGCCGTTCTCCAATGGAGGATTGGCTTCCAGGTCATCGGAATTTCCTAGTTCGGTGGCGGCTACTAACTGGTGAGTGCGAAAACAAAGCCGAGCTAGGCCAAAAGTGTGACTAACCTATGCTTCTCAGGCGTTGTCGAAACCAGTACAGGCGAGCAACAACGACCATCATGTTGACAAACATGAGATTGGTAATGATCGGGATCACGTAGATGTAAACCTGTTGGTAGGTTTTCAGGTCCTTGACATCCACACTGCATCGCATACCACAACCGATTAGTATCTATTATTGGCTGTAATTTCGTAACGCCGACCACTAATCGTAACGTACGTGTTAAGGCCGGACTCAGTTGAACCGCTACATCCGAAGAAGAAAGCATCGACGGCGGTTAAATTACCGTACGGATACAGGATGACAAAAGAAAGTAAGCTACAAAAAATTATCCATGTGTCTGCGATTCGAAGCATCTATTAACTTTGGCTTCTCGCGCAACTGGCCACTAGTAGGAATACTCACAGTGAAGGGTTATGAAATTTAACTTGGGCTTCCACATGGCTGCGGGTGTGGGCTACAATTGGGGAGCTTGGGACTTCGATTATACCAAGATTGGATGTGAACGGGAATCTCAAATGTAGACGTTCAAGACGGGATACCAATGTACTCTTGCAAGAATGAAGCATGCCTGCCCGCGTTTGTGAGGGAAATGCCCGGTTAAGAGCGCGGCCAGGAGAGGCGCAGTCACGGTGCCTGAGGCCAGAAGGGGCACCGAAAACTTGGCGACTCACCCCCACTGCAGGCCACGCTCTTCTTACACTGTGAGCGAAATAGACCCTAGCCTGCTTGAGGAAAAGCTTGAGGCATTTTCACGACCTGCGGGTGTTAGCCTTCGTGGTTGACTCTAATCCAACAACAGGGCGAAGCAGGGTGTCGCAGTTCGTCGAGGGCGTTTCGGCTGTCAGCCAAACCCTGCTGTCCGGGCATAGCTGCTGGCAAAGCGGACGAAACCAAGTAGGAATCAATCGATCAACAAGGCATGGGCGTCGCGCTTAGCGCTCCACAGTCATAACTACGTATCTCTGGTCAGCCACACTGTCTGCCCCTCAGGCAGCTCCAGCCTAGCCGCCATGCCTTAGAGGATTTTCCCACGTGTTACAAGCCCAGCTCCTCCTCCTGAGCCTATTTTGAGCTTCTTTCTCAATAATCGCGATTTCAACCTGCTGTAATTATTCTATGCTTTCTATTTTTCCCATTAGAGATTGCGCACTGTTCAATGCGTTGCGAGGATCGCAGGTTTCCTGTCTGCCGCGCTGCATGTATTGATGAAAGAAGGATAACCACGATAAGCCGATAAATGTAAAGATGGGTAAGGTTGGAGAGGGTGACGACGAATCAGGGTGTGGTCGGCCGCTGCTCATGAGGAGTGATTAGTGGCCAGGGGGTATTTCCGGCGTGCATAACCCCTTCGGAGGGGGGTACCCAAGCCCAGATGCTTGCTGCGGCTAGAAAGTTAGATTTATGCAGTATATCTTTCTGAATCCATCGCAATACACCACTAAAAGAGGGAAAGCGTTAGTCAAATTAGGCTTTTCTGCTGTTAGTCTTAGCTCTGTGGAATCAGTAGCTAGTGAGTATAATCAGTGGCCAGCCTGCCTAGATGCTTAAAGTGATGCTGAGTGAGATCAGGGTTAGGGTTCACTATACTATTTGAGTAAGCGGTGAGCAGGTTATATACTATACCCACTTTGGTGGTACAACGAGCAGCTGCCGACCACACCCTTAAGAAGGGAGGCGTTACTCCTTCTGACCTCCTATTAGGTCTGAGAATTCCCCTTTTTAACAGCCTCCATATTGCCTGTGAGACCAAGCCACCTAACCCTGTCACATTATCTAATCTAAAAGGAGATATTTATGCATTTTCAGCCTATTTGTGTAATTGGCCTATTGTTCTATGAATTTGTAGCTGAAAACTGCTGTCGCTATTTGTGAGGGGAAATTCCTTCGTGGATTGGGAACGAGAGCGGATTACACCATTGTACTTTTTCGGCTTTCGGTATTCAATGTGCAATGAGCACATCTAACACAGGAGTCGTGACATTGTTTTGCCACCCCTATTGCCTGATGGCAGTCTCGAATTCTCATTCGGCTTACGGAGTATCGTATCAACTTTTGGCAACATCTGGTTAGTTTATCTTATCATTCAAGGCCCATGTCATGACGCTATGACGATCCTATCACGCCCACTGTCACCTGCCGCTTTGGGTGCTCTGGCCCCACCGGAACTTCACCACGCCCCGGGATGTCGCAGAGCGGCTGTTCCTCTTCGCCACCTTGTTCTCCGTGTGACACAGCCTGGCATCGTGGACATCGCCTTCTTATAATTTGCACTGAGCAGCGATGGCGTCCGCGAGTATCTGGCAGTCAGGGGGGTGGGGTTGGATGGCTGCCTTTGCGGTCGGAACCCTAGTGACCTCCGTCTGTGCCGGGCAGCTCCAAGTCCAGCACGCCGCGCAATACCGGAATCTCGACATGCGAAACCCAGGAAAGGAGCATCTCTTGGCGCATATGGGGCGGCTCGCATATGAGGTCGAGATGGCGGCGAGCACTTCCTCGCCACGGGCGCCGCTGCTGGACACGTTCCAGGTGGCCGAGCCTGTGCTCCTCCCGTCCGGTGCCGCCGGTGAGGAGGCCATCACTGTGACCTTGATGGACCACCAGTTCGCCAACAGCTATGGGACCCCGTTTGTCGGGAGCTATGCGCCGCCGGACTTCGAATTCGACCACGTCGTGATCAACTTCACCGTGGAGGTCAAGGGCAGGCAGTTTGACCGCTGGGGCAGCGTGTACCTGGGCGACGTCAACATCTTCTCCACCTCCACCGCCGAGCCCACGGCCAACGGTATCACCTGGACCTGGCTGAAGGACTCGACGGCTTACCTCTCGCTCTGGAAACAGCCGCAGACCCTCATCTTCCAGCTCGACAACGTCATCACGGACGTCTACACGGGGCTCCTGAACTCAACGCTCACGGCGACCTTCTTCAATAGTCCTGTCCAGAGCGGGGGCCAGGCGCCCGCGGACCTCATCCTCCCCGTCTCCGCGCAGAAGAGCCCCGTGACCGGCAGCTTCTGGACGTACCCCGAGGAAGACGCCACCGCCTCCCTCCGGTTCCCCCGCAACGTAAACCGGGCCGTCTTCTCCTCGTCCGTCAAGGGCCAGGGCAACGAAGAGTTCTGGTGGAGCAACGTGCCGCAGTCCGCCGTCGACGCCTTCAAGCCGGACGTCGGGACCTACCCGGGATACTCCCCGTTCCGAGAGGTCCAGATCCTGATCGACGGGCAGCTGGCCGGCGTGCACTGGCCTTTCCCGGTCATCTTCACCGGCGGCGTGGTTCCGCAGCTGCACCGGCCGATCGTGGGCATCGACGCGTTCGACCTGCGCGACCACGAGATCGACATTAGCCCGTGGCTGCCGCTCCTGTGTGATGGCAACAACCACACCATCGGCATCCGGGTGGTCGGGCTTGTCGACGATGGAGCCGCTAGCGCGAGCCTGTCGGACACGACGGAAAGCAGCTGGTATCTTGTCGGCAAGGTGTTTCTATGGCTCGACGACGAAGACAGCGTGACGACAGGTGTCATCGGGTCCACCGCAAACCAGGATCCGGTCATCGAGTTCTCCCAGACCATCAAGCAGAACGCAACGGGGTTCAACTCGACGCTGGAGTACGCCATCGCAGCGAAGAGGAACCTTTCCATCACCTCGCAAGTCAGCACTCAAAAGGGCAACGGCACGGCGACGTGGAGCCAGAACCTGTCGTACTCAAACGTGGGCGGTCTGTACGCAAATGGCTACGGCGGCATCAACACGTTCTCGACGACCGGCAAGGAATCATCCAACAGCCCCGGGTGGGATTACGAGACGACCTTCTCGTACCCCTTGTACTGTAATACCACGACCTTGTACCTGCCCGAGGGCAACCTGACGCTCTGGGCGCAGCTCGACCAAGGCCTGAAGCTCCACGTCCAGGGAAACACCGTCTATCCGACGGGCCTCGAGGCTTTTCAGAAGGAGGGGGCGGAGTGGGCCACCAGCGTGATCGACACGGATAGGAACGGCACGGCGAACTACTCCCGGTATGCAGACAACACGGTCACGTCGGGGGTCGGGCGGACGCATCAGGTGTTCCGTCTCAGCGGGCTGGATGGCGATGGCACGTACGAGACGCCGGGAGAGGAGCTTTATTTCCGGGACGTGACCGCTTACAACAACAGCGTCGTGGCACAGAATGAGGTTGTTACGGGGAAGGTGATGTGAGAAGTCCCCCGGAGACACCGCTTTTTTAGTCTTCCAGTAGAAGAGAGGGTAGGCAGGATTTGGTTTGAAGAGCATGATTTTGATAATTTATTTAAATGTAATTAACCTCAGTTTAGACAATATTATAGGAAATTGAACTAATGAGAATTGTGTGCGAATATTGAGGTTTCGGGTCTCCCCGTTGATTTCCGAGACATATCCACGTTGTTTTACAGCATCTGCTTTCGGCAATATCAGGTTCTTATTACCACTGGGCTTCTGACAAAGAGCCCTTCAACCGCGGCCTTGATCAGCAATCTCGCCGCACGGCTTTTTTCGGACGGAAGAATGGCCCAGCTATGCTCTTCTACGACTCTTCTTAGATAGTGGCATAGGTGACGTCCCTACCTCGCTCGGCGTGCCTGAATGAATTGGGTCGAGGTCACAGATTTGAGTTGAACCAATAGTTATGTATGATTGACTACGCCTTTACTCAAGCTAATGGACAAGAATACCGCATGAAAGTAGCAGTTCGCTCGCCAAAGAGGTCCCTAGAAGTATTCATGGGCTTTGTTTACGGGACGAATCGTACGTAGCATACCCCTATGGGGGGAACTAGCATGTCACAATACCTTTGACAATGCTATCCGCCCTCTACACCTAGATCACGCTGTGCGGCTCACCCATGGATCAGAGCGACGAGACGAAATAACTCCACATTGGTCTACCGCACGGAAGGGAGCTCGGCCAGGGTTGGAGCCCGCAATCGAAGTCAGTTTGAGTAGGGAGGCAGATAAACCCATCTCCCTGAATACTTACCTAACTAGATCGGTATAAAGTAAGCACAAATAGGTATTTCAGCCTGGCGGCTAAGCAGGGAAGGCTGCATGTAAGATAATCCCGTCAGCACTAGCTCAATCGAGTACAGGGAGCGAACCCGCCAACCAGATGCACTGGCGAGAACGCTGACGGTTTCATCTATGATCTACACTATCCAATGTACGGATACACAGCACCGATTCTCGTTCGGCTCTCAGTTCTAGCCTGGCAGGGTCGGCCTGGATGAATATATAATGCCGACGGATGTCTCTCAATTCATCCCCCAAGACTCTGAAGCTCCCGAAGTCTCATGTCGAACCTCATTTTCAACAGTCCCAAGGTCGTGTCGAAACTACTGCACCGCTCCAATATGTCTCCTGCTTTCACTCTTTACGGCGCCCGCAGCTCGACAAACACGGACCGTGTCCGCCTGACTCTCGCCGAGGCTGGCTTCACCGACTACGAACTCGTGCTCGTCAACTTGCAACAGGGGGAACAAAAGGTGGGTGAAGATGTCCTATCATTGACAAGACGGACTGCCGCTGATGGTAATCCCTGCCGCACTACCCAGTCTGCAGAGAATATGAAGCGTCACCCGTGGGGCAAGGTTCCCGTCGTCACATTCCCCGACGGCTTCAGCCTCTACGAGAGCCGTGCAATCTGCAAGTACCTCGCCACCAAGTACTCTTTCCCGCTTCTGCCCCGGGGCTCGGACGCCGAGGCCGCGGCGCTGTTTGATCAGGCCCAGTCAGAGGAGATGCTCTACTTCGCAGACCCCGCGGGCAAGATTGCCTTTGAGAAGTTTGCTAAGAGGTTTATGGGGCTACCCGCCGACGAGGCCGTTGTGTCGGGCGCGCTGCGGTCCCTCGAGGCCTTCTTCGACGTTGCCGAGCGAACCCTGGAGCAGAGGGACTACATGGCTGGGAATGACTTCACGCTTGTCGATATCCACTACATCCCGCTGATACAAAGGTTATTTGCCTGCGGATATGGGGAAATTGTCCTCGGCCGCAAAGCTGTGGCTTCCTGGTGGGATCGCATCGTTAGTAGGCCCGCCATTGAGAAGCTGTTGGCTGCTGACCAGGAGGCTGCCGCTGCCGCTAAAAGATAGACAATTTTGCACAAACAATAGAAATAGACCAATCCGAGACTAGCAATCCCTGAACCACGCGTGTCAAGTACGAAAGGATCTGGTGAGATTACGCACTAGACTATCACAGAGTGTGCTAACTCTTGTAGAGTTCTCATGCCCTTCTAATAGATATATGCTCTGCGTTATCGAATATGGACTGGGGGGTATCCTCTACCTCTTTTCTCAGGCTTTTTCTTTCTTTCTTTTTATTAACATAGTTCCCTATACTTAGAAGGTTATTAGCTAACAACTTAAGTTAAATTTAAATCCAACTCTAGATAGTTCTTAATGTAAATAAAAACGATAAAGTATGTTAAGAAACATATTCTACAAAAGATTTTTGACCTTATAGCATAAGACAGTGTTGAAAAAGCGAAAAGCTCAAAAAGTCTCCTCGACGGGGAATTGAACCCCGGTCCCCTGCGAATCGTTTGACTGACAAGCAGATATCCTCACCACTAGACTATCGGGGAATTGCGGATGTTTTCATCCAATGATAGCTGGTTGAGTGGGCCTCCTAGCACACCATTTATCAAGGCTGTACTGCTATTCACACCAGCGAACGTATCTTTGCGCAAGGTGCAAAGAAACACACTTTCCAGCGCCTACAAATCAAGGTATTATAGATGTCCGTAAGAGATTATATATTAGATAAACTGCACATCTATTGAAATGCGTGAGGTAACTAACGATTTTCACATGTCTAGCTGTTACAAGTAATTAAGCATCTATCATACAAGATATCATGTTTTCCAGTGGGGCACAAAGCAAAACAGCATAATCCGTGTCAGGTTACTGGTACCTGATAGCTAGTAAATGAGTATAGAGAAAGTGGTATACCCTATACCGCAATCCTACTCACTGGCTGTACACTCATGGAAAAATAATCAGAATGCGCGAAGCACCGCAGCATAGTTCTTGACCACCACGTTACCCAACACATTGATGCCAACCTCACTACAGCTTGGTCTCTAGTTGCCGACTCTTAGCGCGCTCCTCCTTCGTCTCTAAAAACTTCTTTGTCTCGGCATAGATACGTCTCACCCGCTTCTCTGTGAAGGCCTGGAGATCGTGTTCACCGATATCTAGGCCGATCGGGCCGCTCATGTCAAGGTCCCGTGACCGGTCCGCCTTGACAAGCCAGTTCCGCGACTTGATGACGTAGAACTCGGCCACAGAGCACTGCCGGGCGGTGCGGTCGGTGGTGAAGACGGGCCGGGCCATCTTGATCCTCCAGTCGTCGGGGACATAGCGTGCCAAGTCTTGCAGGTAATCATCGAACTTCCTGGGGATGTACGACTGCGACGATGCGTGTACAACACCACAGGTTCCGCGCCGTACGTGCTGAAGTATGATGTTGGAAGCCAGGTCGACGGGTATCTCATCGACGATGTTCTTGCCTGACGAGAAACCCACGGGGGCGTGGAAGACCGCGGAGCCGCCCGTGGGATACATCATTCGGGCGTAGAAAGTGTTCAGAGGGCAAGACGCGTTTGGTAGGTACAGCTCAAAGGGCTCGTGGATTGCAGGGGCAATACCAGTAGGACGCACTATGAGCAGCGGCACCTTCTGCCCTATCCTCCGGTCCAGTAGACACTCCATGAGCCTCTTAGATCTGGCATACGGCCAAGCGAATTCACCCGAGCCGTCCGTCTTGTCTGAAAGGATGTCATTCAGGAGCTGGTCCGCATCGCCGATAGGGTATATCCTTTCCTCCATTGGACCGTCCGGGAGATCGCTCAAGGCGTATGCACTCGAGACCTGAACAAAACAGACGAGCTCGGCAAATCTCGTTGCCATTTCACCCAGATCAAGGGCTGAAAGACAATTATCTTGGACAGCTTGGCGTAATGGCAGCCGCAAGCTTATGTTGGCAGCGGCATTGATGACGATGGTAACATCCTTCTCTAGAGCCCGAATATTGTGTTCCGCTATTCCGTACTGAGGGGCTGTTAGGTCACCAAATACAAACTTGATGCTGCCTGTCCGAAGGACCTCATCGACGTGATTCGGCATGATTGTGGACCATGTTTGGATGGCCTTTTCGGGTGTTTTTCGTATTACCACGTAGATCTTGGGTACGCGAAGAACAACGGCGAGCTTGTACAGGAGGCAGCCCCCAAGACCCCCCGTTGCTCCCGTAAGGAGCACGACCTGGTTTTGGAAGAAATCCATAGTATTGAACAAAAATTGTGGCTGAAAAATGCAAGATCTAAAAGTGGTAGTATTCCAAAGCGGAAGCGGACCATCGCAGAATGCAAGGTTGGGAAGCGGCCCAGCTAAGTACCCGGGGGTCAACAAGCAGTGCCACATCTCTTTACACATAGAGATTGACCGGCTTGATAATTGTAGTCCTAAGGCTTGCCAAGAATAAATCTATCAGCCACAATGATAGCGTTCTGTGGTTTCATGTATTCTATCGGCGTCTATTGGCCGAAGTTCGCGTTGTGCCGAAGTAACGAATGTCTTACCACCTCCTCTCTGCAGCCGAGACGCAAGTCCACAGACGCCTTTGCAGGCCAGTGAACGCGGTATGCGTCCTATCTGACTCAGTACAGGAGACCTTGGGATATCCAACGGCTGTATTGCCTCGTTTCGTTCTCGACTTGGCTCGTCAGCCACCCAGTAGATGAATTGAGACAAATGAAATCGTCCGGACTAAGACAGAGTGAGACTCTTAGCGGTTGTCTAGAAACAAAGTGCTACTGAGTTGTTATTAACCATGCAGCAGCCCTGCGACGTTCTCAATCTGGTTTGGTCGAGCCGTTCCGCTGCAGACGAATGAGTCATCACACTCTGCTGAAGGGCTGCCATTGGCGGCATATGTTTCCATCGCATGAGTGGGAGCTCGCTACTGAAAATCACGGGGGACACTGCACCGGGACGGCCCTTAGTATTAAAGCCAACTACTCTGCAGATGGGTACGGTCGATCTCAGGGTGGGGGTGTCGCGTGGGGATCTCATGGATAGCGATGAAGTGACGTTTCGGTATGCAACATGAATTCCAGATTTATTCTCGAGGGCCGTGTTTTTCAAGGGCATCGATATATAGTTATACTGATGTTATGTCTATCATGTCAATCGCTTCGGCAATCGTTGAAGTCATCAATGTGGGAAATAGAATGTTTTCATGAGTTAAGTTCCGATGAGAATGAACCCGATAATACTGTAGGAGTAACAGTGATTCTTGACCTGGCTCAATACCCTATACAGATATAATGAGTAACAAAAGCCATTTATCGCAGGGCTGAATAACTTATCCCGAAATTTTCTTGGAATACTGTGACTCTCAGCGGACATCGCCGCTTCCCCCCTGCAAAAATTGACCACTCAATCCCCAGTGGACAATGGCACTTCGCCGCATCGTTTTGAAAGCACTCCGCTAACAGGGGTTCAGGTGCCTGCCGCGATAGTTTGTCGACAGCGGCTCTTCGGGTGAACCATTGATTGCTTGACTCGACCTTCACTGCAAGATTCGGAATTTTGCGTACTAAGAGCCAGCCCACGTTCTTCTCTTATTATTTTTTCCTCTCCAGCAGTGGACTGGTTTGCCTCAATAATACGACCGCTACCCAAGCTTATCTGTTGGTACCACAGTAGCATCCGGCGGCTCCGTTACTAGCAGAATCCGGGGCTGGCTCCTGATTGAACAACACCGGCAAGATCGGCAAATATCGAAAAGGTGGTGCGGGTCCTTTGCTTAAAAGAACGCAGATATCGGCAGCACTAGGCGATAAATGGAGCTTCTCTTAGTCTATCTTATTATTTGGACCATAGCAAAGTAGCGGTGCGACTCTCCGAGATAAGAGTGATCACTAATTTGCCGCGCCCCCCCAATTGTAGCGTCAGCGTGGAGAAAAGCTTGTTTATGGCGGGTAATGCATCTTCTTAAAAGCTTGGCGGTGTTCTCGCGGCGACTGGAACGGTAGAGGCACAGCTGTCCGATCACTGCAACAGTCAATTTCCCGGCTTCAACGGTCTCAATATGCGTCTCGGAAACGGCCCGTTGGCTTTGCTGGTCCTTACAGCTGGCACCCCGGCCGTCCTGGCTTGTGGAAGCTGCGAACACCCCGAGCAAGACGTCGTATTAACCCGAAACGTCCGCCGTGCGCAACCCGATTCGCAAGCAGCCGTGGATGCGCCCCGCGGGCCTCTATCGTGGGGTCAACTGAACTTCCTCCACACTACTGGTATGAAAGCTCCATGTAACATTCAAATGATGCCGCAACTTCACGTATGCTGATTAAATTGCTTCAGACACTCACGGATGGTAAGACTCCGCTCCATTTTTCATGGTTTTTAAATTGACTTGGGTGGACTGGGCAGGCTTGAAGGTCACATCCGGGAGCAGAACTACGGCGCGGATTGGGGTGACTTTGTCAGCTTCGTCAAGCATATGCGTCAGAAGGCCGATGACCTTGACGTCGATTTGTTGGTCGTTGACACTGGAGTATGACCGCCCCGACTTCATTTTCAGTTCAATTATGCTGATCATTCCAGGACCTCCACGATGGCGCTGGGCTCAGCGATGCCACGGGTGTCTCGTCTTATGCAAATGGTACTGGTGTTAATGGCAAGTTGTCGAACCCGATTTTCGAGAACCTCAATTATGACGTGCTGGCTATCGGAAATCACGAGCTATATGTGTCCGCTATTGCATACGAGACCTTTAACCAGTTCGCCAAGGTCTATGGTGACAGATATCTCACCAGCAATGTCCAGATCCGCAATCCCCAAACTGGAATGCTTGAATACATTGGCAAGCAGTACAGGTACTTCACCACTCCAAAAGGTATGCTTCGCCATCATATGTACGCTTGACGTGAACCTCTTACTCACCTAACCGCCCCCATAGGCCTCCGTATCATGGCTTTCGGTGTTCTTTTTGACTTCACCGGCAACTCCGATGCTTCAGTCATCACCACCGCAGCCACAATGGTTACCCAGCCCTGGTTCCTCAACGCCGTCAACTACACTGAGCCGATCGACCTCTTTTTGGTTGTCGGCCACAACCCCGTCCGGCCGACGCAAAGCAGCAGTACACTGAAGACTGTTTTCAACGCGATTAGGGCAGTCAGACCCGACACGCCGATACAGTTTTTCGGGGGCCACACTCACATCCGCGACTTCGCCGTGTACGATGACAAGTCCACTGCTCTCGAGTCTGGCAGGTATTGCGAGACCGTAGGCTGGCTGTCTATGACTGGTATCAAGTCCAGTAATTACAAGGGCTCCCTCTACCCCGAGGGCGTACCTCACCCTGCCCAAAAAGCGATCAATGTGGCTTCGAAGACTGCTTCTTCTAGCCTCTCGTCCTCCACTGGCGATTCCGGTATCACCTATTTTCGGCGATACTTGGACTGGTAAGACCAACCGGGCACTGATGTTGCAGATGACTAACTGCCTTCCAGGAACACTTTGACATTCGAGTACCATGCGGTTGGTAGTCAGGCCAAGGCTTTCAACACAACCAAGGGAACCAGCGTGTCCCAGAACATTACGGCCACTCGCAAGCAGCTCAATCTGACCACGCTCTACGGATGTGCACCTCAGACTTGGTGCATTGATTGCGCGCCTTTCAGGTCAAATGCATCTATCTTCTCGTTGGTTAGCACCGCTCTCGCGGCCACGGTTGTCACCGAGGAAAGAGCAACAACACCGAGAATTATCATCGCCAACACGGGCCACCTTCGTTTCGACCTTGCCGAAGGGCCGTTTGATTACGACTCTTCGTTCATCGTTTCCCCGTTCACCGACGGCTTTCAGTACATACCTGACGTCCCGTGGTCTCTTGCCAGCCAGGTGACTCAGGGTTTAGAGTCGGGCAACTACCCATCCAAGAGGAAGCGCTCTCTGTCGGCCGACTCGTTCGGCTTTAGCCAAGCGAACCCAGCCTTGTCCGCGGTAGACGGTTGTATCGACCCACCCGTGACGAACGACCACTTCGCGAAGCGTTCGTACGCTGGAGGTCGCATCGTTCGCCGTCAGACTGTCACGCCGGGGTATACCACGAGCGATGACTTTGGCACTGACGGAGACGACACTGCCCACAGCAAGATTACGAGATACGATCTGCCCGACTTTATCCAGGTCAATGCCAGCGTCCCCGATGATGGTTCGATTTCGGACGACACCAAGGTAGACCTGATTTTCCTCGACTTTGTTGCTAACTCGGTCATCTCGGTATTGAGATCTCTGGGTGCGAATTATACGTCAAAGGACACCTCGTACTATTTGCCTAGTGTAAGTGATCCGACTATATTAGACATTTTCTTTCAAACGTTTGCTACTGTCTACCTGAGTATGGAGCTGGCACCCGAAGGATGACCTACAAATGATCCTAGAACCACGGATGTTGAAGCTGCCACTACTCTCGTTAGCTACTGCGACATGTCCCCCCATTGAAACATGTTTTGGAAGATGACAGAAAGCTGACTATGTCCTAGACGTTCACCACAAATTCGTACTTGCCTGCGTTCGCAAAGATGGACGCGGCGTGGCAAGCCAACATGCCAAACTGTCCTGTTGGACAGGGAATCGGGTATAGCACAACGGCCGCTTGAGACCTCTTGTCGATGCTGTTTCTAATGAAGGGTTCCAAGATTGTGACGTATTGATTCGAATAATGTTGTCATGATGTTATCCCTGGTTTCAAACCAGTACATATCGTCTATACTCAATTGGAAGTCTAGACTCATACGCGCTTCTAGTTTCTCCTGATACAGAACTTACCTAAGTGAACAAAGTAAACTATCCGGCTTGGATGGCCCCTGCATATGTCTACAGCCGCTCAAAAACAACGTGCGCCGGAAAATGTCTTGTTTGGCGACAAACAGAAATCCAAGATTTGCTAACAACAGGCATGCATGGTAACATGATTGCTTTGTGTAGTTTTGGTAACAACAACGGGATGAAAACTTCCTGTTGGTTTACTATCGTGTTGGCCCTCTTTTACCCAAAGATGGGGTGTTTGTACCGCAAGCAACGGCCTGTGGCATTTTTTCCTGGCAATTTTGAGGTAAGGCTGCCTATATGGTGGTCGGCCTCCCGCATGTGGATGGCATTTACTATCATTTGCTACAAACGAATGTCCTATCAGCGTCGTCATGCGATAGTAATCGTATGGCGGCGAAGCAACCTATATTCTCGGCAACCTATATCTTCGGCACTCTCTCCAATGCCATTTCCAGGTCTGTCTGCATCTCACAACTCACTTTGCATGCATCTTCCCCGTCTACAGACGCCATTTCCACTTGCTCTCTTTTCCGGACGAGTTTCCCAAAGCTCCCATGGCTACTTCCGACAAAACCAGACCAATTGTGATCGGCCTCTACGGCGTCCCAGGCTGCGGCAAATCTTTTCTCCTGAGCAAGCTGAAGAGCAGGCTCAATCATGAGCACTTTCAATTCTTCGAGGGCTCTGATGTCATTGATAGAGTCGTTCCAGGAGGGTTAGAAGTCTTCAAGAGGTCTGATGATCAAAAGAAGCTTCATTGGCGCCAGATGGCCATCGACGCCATCGCCAACGAGTGCACCCGAGCAGGGCGTGTTGGGGTCGTTACCGGCCACTTTCTGTTCTGGTCTCAAGTAAGCAGTACCATCTACGAGGCTGTGTGTACGGACCGCGACCTCCGCGTATACACGCATATCATCTACCTTGATGTCCCTGCCGACGTGGTGGTTGAACGCTCTCGAGTGGACACCGTTCGGTGTCGCCAACCTCTGCCCATCGACCACATACGCAAGTGGCAGGACACCGAGAAGAAGCAGCTCCGCCGTCTCTGCCTTGAAAATGGTATTCTTTTCGGAATCACATCGCCGAACCAATCCCTCCTGGACAGCGTCCTGCCTCTTCTCCACGACATCCGTCTTCATTCCGAGAAAGAGAACCTGTCTCGTGTCAACAGCCGACTTGATGAAGTCGTTCTCACTATGCAAAGAGAGAACAAGCTTGGAACGATGGTGGTCCTCGACGCGGACCGAACTATCTGCGCTATGGACACGGGCACGATGTTTTGGGAGAAACTAAGAGAGAGGCAATCCTCGAAGGAAAAGTGTCCCCTCAGGGCTCTGTTCAGCAGCCATCTGGGATACTCGTATTCGGCATTCAGACAAGCTACCTTTCTCTACGAGGAAAGTCGATCCGACTTTGAAAGCCTGTGCAGTGAGGTTGCATCTGCCGTCACCATGCATCCCGAGTTCTTGGCCTTGATCCACGCTTTGGAGAGAGAGCCGTCCACAGGCGCAATCGTTGTCACCTGCGGCATACGCCGAGTCTGGGAAAAGGTCTTGGACAGAGAGGGCCTTTCTCAGAGCGTGAAGGTCATTGGTGGGGGACGCGTCGCGGACGGCTACGTTGTCGACCCTTTGGCCAAAGGCGGCGTTGTCTCCCGACTGCGGGACCATCACGGCCTCTATGTCTGCGCATTTGGAGATAGCCCGGTGGACCTGCCCATGCTGAAGCTGGCTGATCAGGCCATTGTCGTGGTCGGCGAACATCAGACCAGAAGTCGAAGCATGGACGCGGTCTTGTCGAAGGCGATCGATGAGGGCAACTTTCGTCCACGACAAGCCCTAATTCCGGATTCCTCAACGCCGCGTCTCGACCTCGACAAACTGCCACTTGTCAACATTGCCAGTCAAGCCTTCGTCAAGTCCGTCACTAGCCGTCGACGCCTCCAAGTTGTTCATGCAACGGCGAAAAACGCGGCTAAGCTGCTCATGACACCGACTCGCGATGCGGCTATCGCAGGCCACAGCCTCAGAGTAGCTCATCATCAAGTGGGTTGGTACCTTGCAACGGAATTTCTGACCGGTGTACTTGGTGTGGAGAAGTATCCCATCGCGCACGTTCAAGGCCGCATAACCGATGGCTATCGACTTCTCAACGAGGACAGCACCGCTGTCGTGGCCTTGATGCGCGGCGGGGAGCCAATGGCTCTCGGAGTCAGCGAGGCGTTCCCGAAAGCCATGTTCCTTCACGCCGGCGGCCCCGAGGACCTCAACTCGGAGAATCTTGCGGGGAAGCAGACGGTGCTGCTGGTGGACTCGGTGGTCAATAGTGGCAAGACAATCGTTGAATTTGTTGAGAAGATACGCAAGCTAGATGCAATCAAGCGAATCGTGGTGGTGGCTGGGGTCGTCCAGGAGAAAGCAATATCTAATGTCCTGGAGCCGCTTGCGAACGCTGCGGATCTGGGCCTCGTTGCACTACGTCTGTCGGAGAACAAGTTCACGGGAAAGGGAGGCACAGATACTGGAAACAGGCTCTTCAACACAACCCAACTTCCCTGAGTTGGCTGTTTCAGGTTGATTGAGACCGGATCATGCGCTTGAGTAGTTTTACAGACCGCATTCGTCTGGTGTTTCCGGTCGTGAAAGTGGTGCCGATCAGGGACTCAACACATTCATTTCTTGACATTGTGCTCGTTATCAATAGAGAAAAAATCAGATAGATTACGGCTTTTTGCTTTCTTCCTCGATGTGTTCAATCTTGTTGTCAAAGGCCGGTGGTTCTTGTGGCAAGATACGTAACACAGCCAGCTAATAGTGGACTTGTTGTGAAGCTATGCAACGACGTGATATATTATGCCACAATTGCAGCATGGCAATTGTGGATCCACTTTTGTGCCTACAGCGCCTCATTCTATTCGTTACAAGCTGGGAATAGCGTCGTGTGGCTTGTGCAGTCAACCTGCGCTACAGACGTGGCTCACCACCATCCATAGTAGCATTTCAACCCGATTAGCAGGTCATAGTCGGTTTTTCCTCAGTGAAAACAACTACCGCACTTTGCGTTACACTCCGTTCTAGACGCTGTAGTCCTTACATTAACTTTACGTTCTAGCAGTATCATGGTTTGCCTTCACAATCCAGGTTGTCTGGGCCTGGGCGTATCGATATGCATCTCACGTGGTCGACCCTCTCCTTAGACCCGGAATAGCAATTGTTCCGGGGCAAGCAAATTTACACCAGGTGGCGCGTTGAACTCGACGACGCGACAGATCGCTATCTCGGTCAGCGGTCATCCGGCGTCGAAAACGAACACAGCAACCTGGGAGTGAATATACTGCGAGAGGCTCAAGGTACTTATCCCCACTCAATGACCTCCCACTGCACTGTCTGCTGCTATGATCACCTGATTAATGTTCTATCATGCTCCCTTAGTCTTATGAGCTCCGCATTCTTGATTGCATTTTGGTGAAGCCCTGCGGCGCCAGTGTCCGCAAGGGCGTCAACATGGCTACTAAGTTGGCCGCCAGACTCGCGGTTCTCATCGACGCGAACAACGCGCAGCCTGCGCTGACCGGCGCTATTCTTACTGAAGTCGCCAAATATGGTACTGCCCACGTGAAACGGGCGTACGGCGACTGGTCCGCCATCAGCATGAGAAGCTGGAAGTACGAACTTCTCGGCCAGTCGATTCGACCAATGCAGCAGATCGCCTACACTTCCCACAAAAACGCGACCGACTCGGCTATGATCATTGACGCCATGGACTTGCTCCACGCCAAGCAATTTGACGGCTTTTGCCTCGTTTCCAGCGACAACGACTTCACCCCCCTAGCCCTGCGCATTCGCGAGTCGGGCCTGAGCGTGTACGGCTTCGGTCACTGTCACACGCCCAAGGCCTTCATGGCGGCATGCAACAAGTTCATCTACGTCGATGACATCGTCGACGCCAAGCAGCTGGCGGCACCTCAGGCCAGCCGTGCCGTCACCGCACCGCCACAGGAGCATACCTCGTCTCGTAAGGCCTTCATGGCGGCATGCAGCAGTTTCATCTACGTCGAGGACATCGTCGACGCCAAGCAGCCGGCGGCACCTCAGGCCAGCCATGCCGTCACCGCACCGCCACAGGAGCATACCTCGTCTATTACTCCGGATAGCCACGCTCAGCTGGGCAAAATCCTGCTGGACACGGTCGAACACCTATCAGTTGAGACGGGGTGGGCCTCATTGTATCAAGTCGAACTTCGCTTTACCATGTTGTATCCAAACTTTGACCCTGGCAGGTTGGGGTACCCCAAAGAATTCTCAAGAATGGTTGAGGCTACTGGCCTCTTTGATTTTGACCGTCGTCAAGATCAAGAAGTTTTACATGCATGGGTTCGTGCTAAGTGTCTTGACCATTCAGTGGATGCTGCCGTTGTCAACGGCGAGCAGCTGGCGGCACCTCAGGCCAGCCCTACCGACACCACGCCGTTACAGGAGCATACATCGACCATAACTCTGGAGAGTGATGCTCAGCTGGACAGCATTGGCCAGGAGGAGAAACCCCTGTAGGACTTGGTTGAAGCCTTATCGGATCAAGAGGGATGGGCCTATTACTTGGGTCGAGTCAATGACCTCCTCATCCAGACGTATCCGGATTTCAATTCTGGCAAGTTTTGGCGTTCTAATTTCGCCGAAATGGTTACTGCTACTGTTCTTTCTGATATTGCCGATCAGGATTGGCTCCATGGAAATGGGTAATCACCATATACGCGCATCAAGCCTCTCGAGCATTCGACGTACGCCTATTTGTCTGAAAACCCTTTGTAGATAATTTTTCTCTATTGGAAGTCACCATCAGTATCTACCCATTTCAAGAGGTGTTTTCATAGAAACATCGCCTTTCCCCCATTCCTTATCCGCATGACAGCAGGATCTACCCATGCTCTCCATCTCTTGAGCTAATACTGACATTTCCTGCCGAGAAGAATATTGACTATGTCATTGTGCCCGCTTTCCGCCGCCCGTGACAATGGTGATCGTCCGCTGTTGTCTCTCAAATTGGCATCCATCCCATCGGTGTCAAGGAGTAGTTTCACTAGATCCATACGCCCATTTGCGGCTGCTGACAATAGCGGTGTTCTGCCTTCATCATCTTGAGAGCTAACGCAGGTTTTGTCTCTGTCAAGAAGCATCATGACTATGTGCCAGTCTCCGAAATCAGTCGCCAGCAACAGTGGAGTCCGGTCGCGGTTATCTCTCAAGCTGACGTCGGCACTGCCCACGTCCAAGAGCATCCGAACGACGTCGGCATGACCATTTCCCACCGCCCACCAAAGTGGCGTCTGGTTGCTTTTATCTCTTGAATTGACGTCAACCTTGCCGGTGTCGAGGAGCACTTCGACAACGCCCAAGTGTCCGTTTCGTGACGCACAAGACAAGGCTGTCCAACCATTGCGGTCTTTGTAATCGATTGGGAAATTTCCCGTGTCGAGAAGGCTCTTGACAACAGCTTCATGTCCGCATTCAGCTGCCCACAAGAGTGGAATCCGGTCATTTCTCGTGTTGCTTGGGTCAATATCGACCTCGCCCGTAGCGAGAAGGTCCTCGACTATCTCCTTGTGTCCTTCGCGGGCAGCACAAGACAAAGCCGTCCATCCGCCGTTATCTTTCGTATTAATTGAGGCGGTGTTCAGTCTTAGGATCATCTTCACCATGTCCCTGCGTCCATTCTCGACTGCCCATATCAAAGGCGTCTGGCCCTTGTTGTCTCTAATATGAACGTCCGCCTTGCCTCTGAAAACAAGTGCAGCTACCGTCTGATCATATGCGTTCCATGCCGGCCACCATAGCGGTGTCCGACCATCGTTGTCTTGCGAGTTGACGTTGACTCTGCCTGTGTCGAGGAGCATTTCAACTACAGCGGTGTGTCCGTTCGTGGCTGCTAGCCATAAAGGTGACCGGCCGTCGTTGTCTTTGGAATCAAGGTCCAAATTTCCAGTGTCGAGGAGTATCTTGACAACCTGTATGTGTCCGTTCATAGCCGCCCATGACAGCGGTGTTCGACCTTTGGGCGTATCGCTCCGATCAAAATTGAGCTTTCCAGTTTCAAGGAGTCTCTTGAAGTCAACATCGTATTTTCTTTGAACTTCCTGGGGCAGTGGCGTCTCCGGATTTCGGAAGTAGATTGGGGCGGCAGTATCACCGCCCGTACCGTGAAGCAGCTTCATTATGCCCTGGTGTTCTTTCGCGGCTACTAACCACAGTGGCGTCTGCCCACTGTCATCTCTTGAGTCAACGTTGACGTTGTCTACGTTCACCAGTAGCTTGACCACCTCTTCGTGTCCATTGGCAGCCGCCCATGACAGTGGCGATCGTCCATTGACGTCTTGCGAGTTAACCTCAGCTTCACCTTCCTCGAGAAGCGTCTTTGCCACAGCTGTGTAGCCATTCCCGGCTGCCCATGATAATGATGTTCGCCCAGTTCGTCTGTCGCTCGAGTCGGTCTCAACCACGCCTGTGCCCAGGAGTATCGCGACGACAACCTCATGGCCATTCATAGCTGCCCATAATAATGGCGTTCGGTTATTGACATCCTTGGAGTTGACATTAACTCCTCTTGTGTTGAGAATTGCCTTGACCGCAGCTTCGTGTCCGTTTCCGGCTGCTAATGATAATGCTGTTCGCCCACTGTGTTTTTCGCTCGTGTTGACTTCAACTTTGCCTGTGCTGAGGAGTATCGCAATGACGGCCTCGTGGCCATTAGCAGCTGCCCACGAGAATGGGGTTCGGTCGTTGACGTCCTTTGAGTTGATGTCAACTTTGTCAGCATAGAGGAGCAACTTGACGATGACGTCGTTGCCAGTACCGGCAGCCCACGAGAGAGGCGAGCGGCCACTTGAGTCCTTTTCGTTGATAGCAATGTTGCCGGCGCCATGGATAATCTCGAAAGTGTCCCCATTTCCACTGCTGGCTGCCCACGACAACGGTGATCGGCCGGCATCATCTCTTAAAGTGGCATCAGCTTGGCCAGTATTAAGCAGGAATCTAACGACGGACTCGTTTCCAGTGCCAACTGCCCATGAGAGAGGTGTTCGACCGAAAGAGCTCCTTTGGTTGACGTCGACCTTGCCCGTTTCAAAGAGATACTTGACTATACAAAGGTTCTCGACTTCGGCTGCCAGTGACAGCGGTGACCAATTATCTTCATCTCTCAAGTTGACATCAACGTTGCCGGTGTCTAGCAGCATTTTGACGATGCTCTCATTTCCACTTCTAACCGCCCAATGCAACGCGGAGCGGTTTGTTTTGTCTGTAGAGTTGACATTGACTTTTCCCGTTGCGAGGAGCAGCTCAACCACTGCCTCGTGTTCGTGTCTAGCCGCGTTTGTAAGCGGCGTCATGCCAGTCTTTGCATCTCTCCAATTAAAGTGAGAATCATCCGCATCAAGAACCAGACATGAGAGTAATTTTACCAAACCGTATCTCGCTAGGATATACAAAATGGTACTTTCGGGCGACACATACTCAGAAGTGAGATCACCATAGAGTGTTGCCCATGAGCGTATGAGAGAGCCTCCAGGCCATTCGAGCAGGCCCAGAAACTTCTTTGGAGATTGTTCAACTGATTCTCCGAGTTTCATATGATCAATCCACGAGATCGCGGCATAGTTCAAAAACCCGAGAAGGCCCCTCTCCCGCTGGACCTTCCAATAATCTTGTTTTGAAGAAGAGAAGACAAGCTTCAGGTAGCAGGTACAAGACCATGCTAGCAAAAGATTGGCAGTAGGTGCCACCAAACTGGCTGTTTCCAACTTGACATGTAGGAAAGACAATCCACGCTTGATGAAGTAGTCCTTGACAGACTGATGAATGAATTGAACAGTTCTTTGATGCCATGGTCCCACGGTCTCGGCGAGGCCGCAGCTGAGGAATTTGAGTCTTGTGTCCATATCGTTTGCTGTGATGAAATTCTCGGAGTTCCGCCATTCCTCGATCGAACGAAACGTGCAGTCGGATTGATAGGCCATGGCCCATGATAGCTCGTGCGTCGTCAGGGGTCTTGTTGAGAAACAGATCCACTGTGCAAGCCTTAATGTGCCTGTGTGATGCTGCGCCTTTTCGATAAGTCGGTGATAAAAATCCTCCAAATCCTCTGGCGTCTTCATGACATCGGCCATTATCTTACCCCTGGGTTCCCCCCGGCGTTTCAGTTTCAAGACACGCTCCACAACGAATTGTGCCCATATGAAAACACCATGTGCATTTCTAGCTATGATATCTTCGATTTGTACGTCTGGATCGTCACTGAACTTGGTTTGTACGTATGTAGTGACGTCCGCCTGGTTTTCTGTGTCGAGCAGTATATTCAATCCATCTTTTGAATTAAGGTTAGGGTAGTAACGACAAGCGAAGCAGAATCTAAGTCGATAGTCTGTTGGCGCGAAGGTGGCTAGTAGGGTTTTGAGGTACTGTATAAGTTGCACAGCAGACTCCTCTCCGCATTCGTCGAGTGCGTCAATGAAGATGATGACTGGAAACTGTTTCAGAACCCTTGGCAGTGCTGACTCGAGAAATCCCCTTAGCGGTAGTAGATCCCAGTCCCATTCTTGTCCATGTTTTCCCTCTGTGTTTGTTTTGCGTCGATACTCATCGACTAGGTCAGAGAGCGCGCCAGGGATCTGCCGAAGCATCTGGTGTAGGAGAGATCTGAAGAGGCCCAGCTGAGTCCTCTGCAGTTCATTGCCGCGGCCGTGGAAGAAGAAAGAAAGGACGATGGTGTCCGATCCATACAAATATGGCACTTTCTGAAGGGTATGCTTCAGTATTGTTGATTTGCCAGATCCAGGTTTCCCCATGATCCAGAGTAACCCTTGCTTTTGCTCGGTCCACTGTAGGAAGGATTGGTGCGAGAAGATCCAATCACATGTGCCTGCAACGCTTGTTTCGATGTTATTCTGCCGGCTGTTCATGTCCCGAAAGGCCAGCGACTTCATACAAGCTTCTGAATCGGCAGAATGTGGCCGGTGGAGGTCTATGCTATGAAGTCAGCAAGAATAACATTCACAGCGTGCTTTATGAACAACCTACCATGCTTAGAAAATCGCCTAGCTACTTCAATCTTTGCTTCCTTACAAAGCTTTTTGATTCTTTCCCTCACGATAGGATAATCGCCTTGAATCTTGTTATCAAACTTGACGAGTCCTGAGTGATCCGTGTTAAGGGGGATGTTATCCTCATCAGCTGCAGCAACTAGGCCTGTACTGGTAGCAGAGTCACCTGTAACTAGTAAAGAAGAGCGGCCTGTCTTGCACTATTTTCCGTCTTTACCCAGCTATAGAGAAACAGTTAGTCCTATATCTTTGAGTCGCTTTAAGGTCTTAGACCGCTTCTTACTTCTATAGTTGGGCTGAGTGAGCGCTCAAAAAATGACACCACCTGGTAGTAGTCCCGGCATGTCTCAGAAAACTGGTCCGAAAGAGTCTTGAGACAGTTCGGGGGCTCCGAGTCGTTATCGACTAGTAGGTCGTTGATCAAACTTTCGTTCGGCTGGCCTCGTACGAGCGTTCTCAACTGCTCGTTCCGCAAGCCAAGATTCGGAACTCCAAAGAAAAGAAGTCCAAAAGTGGCCTTGGAAAAATCAGATTTTGTTTCACTATGGCGTCTACGAGCTTGTAAAAGGGCCTGCGACTGTTAGCTACCTATCAGCCTAGTTATGCAGCGTCTTACTTCTTTGATCAGTAAGCCACCGAGACTATGGCCAACGAAGATGATCGGACGACGGCTTGTCTAAATAGATGAGCCCAAGCCCGGATAATGATTGCATGATTTTCTTACACATACGTCATCTCCTGCTCGGAAAGCGGTTATACGTTCAAGGAGTATACTCCCTAAATCCTTGATAGACTGCTTTGAAAGACTGCCGGGAAGGACAGTGTCATAACCGTAAAGGAATACTCGGATGGCGGGGATTTCCCTGGGCAGGAAATCTCGTAACCAGACTTGATCACCGTTGGGAGACTTCCAAGAGCCGAGAGCATGGCTTCTGAGGCCCGGCACTGCGATGATACTGCGAGTGTAAGTGGCGCCCCGAGCATGACGATGGACAATTGTGAGTACTGACTCGATATCCGCGCCACCCTCTGCCACATAGAGCGGCGTTATGCCCTCAAAATTGCAGCTGTAGGTATAAGGGTGACCTCTTCCAGCGTGATGGAGTCGCACACATAAACTATCTCCAGATAGATGCGTCACGACAGAGACGGTAGCGCAGCTGGTGACCTTGTCCCTTGGTGCTAAAGATCGAAGAACAATAGCAGAGGCAACGCCGCGCAGGACCGGGTCTTGCTCCGCGATAGATTGCAGTCTACGACCGAAGTCATGGACATGATCAATTGGGACGTCGTCGACACGAAAAGTGAGGCTCCTGGGCTTGGGTGGCGGCGACGAAAGCAAAAAACGGAGAGTTTGCCAGCTGAGAGCCACAGCCACCAGGCAGACGATGATCGCAACCAGTAGCCCCTGCGAGTCTGCCAGCGAATCTTCCAAGGTGGCCATCTCGTTCCAGGCAAACGGTTCTACCCGAGGCACGTAGCAAGGCAAGAAAGGGACGCATCACGAAGATGTGGCCGCTGAAATGAGGGGCAGCCTGATCAGCTGCATGACATAGGCAGAAACCTGCATCTGGGCACCACGTGATTCGACGTGCATATTGTTCACACCTCTTGTAGAAATACATTGAAACCATTTGGCCGTTGAAATTGAGATAGCTGCCTATATGGCATGTGTGACGAATAGAATAAGGCGTCTGCCGCATAAAAGTGGACTCACAAGTACTGTGCTGTAATTGTGGCTTATATCGCCGCGCGACAGCATGATAATAAGTTGCCTTCCCGAAATCCGGTCACATAGCCATATCATTCGTAAAGTTGCTGTCTCAACCTTTCCTAATGGCGTTGGGCCTTTCGCTGGTGAGCCTGTATATAGTAAAGCAACGTTGATACCGGTTTGCGTTCTATAACAACGTGGAACCTCACAATCAAGTAGGCAACATTCGTCACAAACGTCTCGTCGTAGCTCTTTCTCATAGCCCGGATCCAAGTACCTGACCTCGCTGCCCCACAGTGACGGCGGCCCGGCGTTCGGGATGCTGTAGACGTCGCGGGCGACCACATAGATGACCGTGCCGGCCAGCAGCTCGGCCATGCGTCCCTCGACCCTTATGTCCAGCCCGATGTCCGTCGTGTCCTCAATCTAGGTGCGGAACCACTCCCACCGGTCCCCGAGCTCCGTCCCGTGCGCCGCGCCCGAGCACCTCCCGTCCCCGGCGCGCGGCATCGAGTCGTACTCCTGCACCTCCATAAACCCCCCGAGGGCGAGCAGCGGCGCCACCATATCCCGCAGGTAGGCACCCGATCCTACGATCCCCAGGATGGTCAGCCTCTGGAAGACGTACTTGAACGACCCGGCCGCGGGCACTCCCCGCCCCAGCAGGTCCGCCGCGCTGCCGAGGAGGAACCGAGCACTGGGGTAGAGGCCATCCTTGCCGGCAAAGGTCCGTCTATAGGTCGCAGGACTACCAACTCCTGGTGAAGGACTTGTCAATCCAGCGCTGCAACCAAGGACGCAGGCGTCCTTGTAATACAGGTGCTTATGGCACAGCTTCCTAGGAATATAGGCCAGCAGAGATCGCAATCGGGCTTGGGGTCCGGGAGCCCAACTTCTGATAACCCCACTTACACTAATATTCCAATATGTCGAAAAGCGATCAGGTAGTCGAACCTTGGATTTTCCTCAGACCCATGTCGCTTTTCCTACACTTAAAGGGAGGTGCAAATTGACTAGTAGATTAAGGTTATACTATTGCGTATTGAAGACGACTGATGGGAGATCCAGCTTGTCAAGGAACTGTTTCTGTGATGTTGGGTCTAGGGAAAAGTTGCAAATGAGTAGGTTAAGTTGTGCTTACACGTTTGATACACATTTCCTTTCGTCTCCTGTGCTCCTAGCTGCCAAGCTATTCGATGGCCTTAACTCTCCTTCAGGAACGCAGTTGATCCAACCAGAAAGGTCCATGATAGCCCACATCAACAGGCTACACGATAATAGCAAGACAACACGATGTTGTTTAGATCCTCGACTAGGAAACCTGAAACTGCTTGATGATTGCAATCTGGTGAAAGTCCTCGATAGTCTAGTGGTGAGGATATCTGCTTGTCATCACACGATTCGCAGGGGACCGGGGTTCAATTCCCCGTCGAGGAGTTTGTTTTGCCAGTTGCATACTTGAAGGGCCGTTGTAGTCTTCTATGCTGCACTACCTTGTGGTGTATTTCGTACAGTAAAGTGTGTGTGACTGGAGTGAATCCGGTGCTGTAGAGTCTATTGCATAATTTACCTCGATATGTCGTCATGAGATGCATTGGTGAATATTTAGAGCTGATGATGATTATTTTTCGTGGCGCGCGAGGATGATTCCAGCCAGCAGCGACGTATGGTGCTATAGTGCAACCCCGTGATGAACAGATTTTGCAATGGATTTGACAATGGATTTGGCCATGAGTGAAAATGCCGTTGAAGGTGCCGTGGGTGAGATGACGAGGGCATCACTCGATGGACTTGTCTGCCGCTCTCCGCGCAGACACAGGAACCAGTGATTGATAAATAGAGGTCGGAGAGAGCCACAAGAAAAAAGCGAGCTCCGGCTCACGAAATCCTAGAAAGCTTAACGTGGATCCTAGGCATCGGAGGCTCGCCTGAAGCCGCGGCGCGGGAGCAGCCGCCGGTCGGGAACGAACGGCATCAGACCAGTTGGGGCTTGTCGTCCACATCGGAAAAGGAGTGGGGGTTCGGGGGCTCTTGAGAAGTGAGCCCGAATGCCGTCAAGCGGCGGGGATTCCTCCAGCCCAATCCGTGAACGAGCCGAGGGAAGGGGTAAACTGCATGGCAGCCGTTTACTAGGGACCTAGGTGACACTAAGGTGGGTAGTGCAACCATTATCCCTACGATTTTCCTGCAGTTCTTACGATCCCGAAGACCCCGAATGGCGGTTCCGTCACCGCCGACGCTGGCACGCCGACGTCATAGGGCGTTCACAGCGGGGATGACTCAGCTCCACTTTCCGGGCTTCAAGGGTCTAGGGGCCCTCCTGCCAAGGCACTGCGACGCTCCGGGAGCAATGACGAGACTCTTATTGTTGTTTGTCTTGCGGCGCTTTATTAGTCGAGGTCGTCCGCCTCTGCAGCCACACATTCCGCCTTGTGTGTACATGTTTTTTTTTCTCTCTCTCGCAAATGGCGTAGATCTCTGTTCTCCAATCGAAACAACAAAACACAAAAGAAAAAGGGGAAAAGGAAAAGGAAAAAGGGAGGAAAACCACACACACCATGGCCGCAGTCAAATCAACACAGTCGGAGCTCCCGACTTTCTCGCCCATTGACTATGGGAAGTTCTTTGGAGCAGGCGCCCTCGCGGCGACCTCGACGCACGGTGTAAGCCATTGCCGTCACTCGTAACTCCGCGAAACCACATGTGCTCACTTTCTTCGCCCCCCGCAGGCCGCGACGCCCATCGACGTCGTCAAGACGCGCATCCAGGTCGACGACGCCATGAAGGGCCTCAACATGGTCAAGGCCGGCCGCTCGATCGTCGCCAAGGAGGGCGCGTCCGCTCTGCTGACCGGCTTCGGCCCCACCGCCGTCGGCTACCTCGTCCAGGGTGGCGGCAAGTTCGCCGGCTACGAGTTCTTCAAGAAGCAGTTCATCAGCGCCGCCGGCGGGCCCGAGCGCGCCGTCGACAGGCGCACCGCCATCTACCTCGGCGCCAGCGCCACCGCCGAGTTCTTCGCCGACATCCTGCTGTGCCCCCTCGAGGCCACCCGCATCCGCCTCGTCTCTCAGCGCGGCTACGCCTCCGGCCTCGCCCCCGGCTTCGCGCGCCTCGCCCGCGAGGAGGGGCTCAAGGGCTTCTACTCGGGCTTCGTGCCCCTGCTGTTCAAGCAGGTCCCCTACGCCGTCGGCCAGTTCTCCGTCCACGAGGCCGCCGTCGAGCTCATCTACCGCACCATGGGCCCCGAGCGCAAGGCCGCCATGACCCAGCTGCAGTCCACCGGCGTCGAGCTCGCCTCGGGCATCGTCGCCGGCGTCGCCGCCGCCGTGCTCTCCCACCCGGCCGACACCCTGCTGTCCGCCATTAACAAGGGCGCCGGCGACCCGAAGCAGGGCGCCACGAGCCGCATGATCCAGCTCGCCAAGGAGTTCGGCCCCAAGCGTCTGCTGCTGACCGGCTTGGGTCCCCGTATCCTCATGACCTGCGGCCTGGTCGCCGGCCAGTTCGTCATATACGCGCAGTGCAAGACCCTGGTCGGCGCGCCGGCCGGTATCGAGATTCACAAGGAGGAGTCGCTGTAATGGCGAGATGGTAGAAGTGCGTCAGGTGTAAACTGTTTAAAGGTTACAAAGACTCTAGGAAGGGCCGGCGTTTGGTTGCATTGGATCCGGGTGTTCGAGCGGTGGGCCAGCAATTGCTTAGACTATATGATTCCCAAATCGTTATTTTGCTACATCTTTATCAGCCCCGACCAAACTTCAACATAAGGATAGAAAAGTTAAAATGTTAATTCTGTCGAAACGTTCCCACTTTCACTCAGGTATGGGTAGCAGGAGGTCGAGAGGACTTTCAAACTCTGGTATCCTCATGTGTCTCAAGATGGACGTCCCCCAGACGGTGAATGACACTGGACTGTAAGGACTTGGTATCTCATTCTCCTCGTATTCAGTCCAAAGCATCCGCCTCCTGGCTGTGATAGTCGGGCTAATCTCGTGAGCTGCCGCGGTTTTCTTAGCATTAAAGGGCTTTGTCAATCGATGGAAGGAACGCACTGGAACTAGATGACGATGTTGCCTCTACGGAAACAAGCGACTGCAGCGTCGCCCTTTCTCGGCGAGTGGCATGCGTCAGGAGCACAACGAAGGGAAGGAACAGAGTTGAAGTCCACCATTGACATCCTACTTAGGTAGGCAGGAAGAGAAAGCAGTGCCTGCTATCGTTCCATAACTGAGGTGATCCTGGGGAAGACCCACATAGAGTACCTGGGGAAAGAATTGTAAGGAAGGATCATGGAAGCTCCTATTATGAGGCGGTTGGAAAGATTGCTGCTACCCAATTCGTTAAGATCCAAGCGAACACGCGTATACTACCTACCCCCTTCACTCCGGAAGCCTCCTTCCTCAGACATATTCGCCTTGCTATCTCTACAAAGCTCGCCTCTCCAGATGACTGACCTCACTTTTCTCCCAACCTCATCATCACAACCCGCCGTCAGTAAACATCCCCAACCCAGCATCTTTGACCATCTAGCCATACCTCTCTCCCAGGAACACTCCATAAAAAGAATTCCAACACAATGCTCGTCAAGCTCTATTCTGTTCTTTTGGCCCAAGTAGCTCTCGCTGCCGCCGGGCCGTCCATCCTCTTCGCCTACTGGTCCCAGCAAACCACTCTGATGAGGGAATGCCCGTACGGCTACGCCATCAACGCAAGGGAGGGACGTTTCTGGCTCGGCGATCACATGCCCACGACCTACTGCCCAGACTTCTCCGGCGCCAACTGTCCGGCCGGAAACACGACGGTTGTTGATAGCCTCTTCCGGAAGCTTCGGGTTCGTTTCGACCCTTTCTCCTTGCCCTCATCCATTAGCCCTTCCATCCGCCATGTTCAACATGACCTTTCGCCCACCTCGTTCCAACTACCACGCTCCACAAACACCCTCCTTGTGTCGTCGTCGCTGACCGCTCCACATGGGAAACCAGATCTCCAAACCGGGCGGACAAAGGGTCTACGCCGACCCCGACGGCATCATCTCCTACACCCCTGGCGGCGACAGCTCCATCACAGCGACTCCCCCAGGCTCCAATCTGAACGCCTTTCGGGAGTTGCCCGCGAAGCCCTCCGTCTTCGGAGAGAACGACCGTTTGCTGTGGTTTTACAAGTTTGGCGCTGACCCCGCCTACTCCAACATCTACGCCTGCCCCGACAAGAAGCGTGACGGCATGGCGTACCTCAGGGCGCGGTGGACTTCGAAACAGGATGCGGTCTGGGACACAGAGTGCTTCCCCTTGGATGCCTTGCTGGTGCATCCGAGTGATGACATGGTCGGAGCATACGAATACACCGTGGCCTGAGTAGTCACTTTCTATATCCTAGGGCTTGGTGTCAGAGGAGGTTGCTGGCACCTCGACAAGAGAGCAAAGGTGAGGGGTGAGCTGTCTCATTCATTCGTTCGGTTTGCAACCTAGCATAATACAAAGCATCACCATCACAGAGTCACTTCCGTCACATCATACCTTGTGTTGCGGGACACTTTCGCGAGGCAGCATTTTTCATTGCAACACATGACGCAGATCCTGTGATACTCGTACGAACCCATTAAGCCCATGTACAAACCGACTTGCCTACCTAGTCCAAAATAAGCTCAAAGTCAAACTCCTTGACCTTCAGCTCATACTGCGGCAGCGTCGCCGGCCCGCACGACCCGGTACCCAGACCGTGGTGCGCCCAGTCGAGCCGCACAATAGTGTCCTCCCTCTTGCGCTTGTGCAGCTCGTACGGGTGAGTGCACTCGTCGAGGTCCTTGGTCGTGTAGTGCATCGCCGAGAAGGAGGCGCCGTCGAGGTCGCCGAAGCGGGCGCGGACGAGGCGCTCGAGGGCGGGCTGCTCGTCGTCCCCGCGTTCCACGGCGCCCTCGTCGCCGTCGTCGTCGGGGAGCCGGCCGCGGAACTCGACCCAGCGCACGTCGGTCCTGTTGCCGCCGTCCTGCGGGAACTCGTAGTCGACAAAGAGGTCGTCGACTGTCTCCTCCCAGTTGCCAAACGCCTGGCTCTCCTTCTTGTCGCGGTAGCTCTCGCCCGGGCCGCGGCCCCACCAGGCGGCCGTCTCGACGCCGCGGACGCCGAGGGTGAAGCCGATGCGGGCAAAGGTGTCGGGCAGCAGGGGCCCGCTGGGCTTGCCCTTGACCTTGACGTAGACGGCCTCGCCATGGAAGGTGAAGGTGGTCCAGGTGTCGACGGCCCAGGCGAGGACGGGCGGGGCGATGCGGGAGTGAACGTTGACGACGAGGCCGTGCTTCTCCTTGCTCCACTCCACGCGCCGGACCGAGTGGCGCGTCTGGTGGAGGCGACGGTCCTGCCAATTGGGACCGAAGCGGCCGCCGCGGTCGTTGTCGGTGAGGGCACGGTAGAAGTCCATGACGAGGGGCTCGGTGAGGAGCTCGAGGTGCGGGCGGGACGCCTTGCGCCATGATGCGACGGTGCCGAGCTGGAGGTCGAGGCCCCAGGTCGAGAGGCCCGTGGAGGAGGTGATGGTGAGGAGGGAGGGGGAGGTCTGGGCGACCTGCGGGACGGGGTCGACGAAGGGATTCGAGAGGGAGGAGAGGATTACGGCCATGGAGGGGGGCTTGGAGAGCGGGACCTGACCGAAGGCGACGAGGCGGCCAGCCTTGGCCCAATTCGTGTCGCTGGCTAGGGCGAAGTCGATATGCAGGTAGGCCTCCGCGGCGAGGTTCTTCGGGAGACCCTTGATCTTGAGATGGGCTTTGGTGTGCGGTTTCACGCCTGAGCGGGTGCGTTAGTCAAGGTGCATGAATATCGACAACCGCGTGGGACGGCGCGCAACGAGTGCTTACCCTTGGGGATCTCAACCTCCTGGTCGCCGCCGATGACCATGCCGTCGGCGACGATGTGCCAGGTGGCTGTGAGGTGGTCCAGGGAGATGAAGTCGTAGCGGTTGACGATGGTGACCTCGTTGTCCTTTATGCCGAGCGTCTGCACCGGCTCGATGGCCTTTCTGTACTCGCGCAAGCCGGGCGTCGGGGTGTGCTCGGCGAAGCAGAGGCCGTCAAAAACAAAGTTGTAGTCGTTGGGCACGTCGCCAAAGTCGCCGCCATAGGCCATGTACTCCTCGCCGTCCTCGTTCTTGGTGCGGAGGCCCTGTCACTGTTAGTAGACGGCGCACGCCCGCCTTTTCACCGCTGGGCGACTTACATGGTTGGCCCATTCCCACACGAAGCCTCCCATGAGGCGCGGGTACTCGTAGAAGGCCTCAATATATTCCTTGATGCCGCCTGGCCCGTTGCCCATGGCATGGATGTACTCGCACAGGACGAGCGGCTTGGACCACTGCTTCTCGGAGGCCATGCTCACAATGTCGTCGGCCGAGGCGTACATGCGGCTGTAGATGTCCGCTGTCCGAGCGGACCAATCGCCCTCATAGTGCACGAGACGGGACTTGTCGATGCTCTTGATCACGTCGTACATGTGCTGGTGGTTTGACCCGTAGAAGGACTCATTGCCCAGGGACCACAAGACAACACACGCGTGGTTCTTGTCTCGTTGGACCATCTGTCTCGCACGGTCCTCGTAGGCTTCGCGCCACTCGGGGTTGTCGGTGGCCCAGCTTTCTCCTCTATTGCCGACGACGCCGAAGCCGTGGCACTCGAGGTCGGCCTCGTCGAGGATCCAGAGGCCGAGCTCGTCGGCGAGGTCGTACAGCCGCGGGTCATTGATGTAGTGCGAGGTGCGGATGCCGTTGATGTTGAAGTGCTTCATGAGCAGCAGGTCACGCTTGAGGAACTCGTACGGCACCGCACGACCGGAGTCGGGGTGGTGCTCGTGGCGGTTGACGCCGCGAAACTTGACGGGCTCGCCGTTGATGCAGAAGACGCCCTTGAGGAGCTCGGTGCGACGGAAGCCGACGCGCTGGACCAGGCTGCACTTCTTGAAGTTGAGGACGAGCGTGTACAGGTACGGCGTCTCGGCAGTCCACTTGTGAGGGTTCTTGACGCGGATGTCGAAGCTGTTGTGGCGGTCAAAGATCTTCATGTCCTTGGCCACAAGCTTGCCGTCGGCATCCAGGAGCTTCATGTCGACGTAGGCGCCGCGGTCCATCTCGATGTCGACCTTGAGAGTAGCGTCCTTGTAGTCGTCGTCGAGGATGGTGTGGACGAAGTAGTCGACCGGGTGAAACTTGGGAAAGGCGTGGAGGTAGACGTCCCTGAAGATGCCGCTGAGCCACCACTGGTCCTGGTCCTCGAGGTATGTGCCGTCACATCTCTGGTAGACCTCGACCGCGAGGACGTTGTCCTCGCCGATCTTGACAAGGTCCGTCACGTCGAACTCGCTAGGGTTGCGAGCGCCCTGGGAGTAGCCAACCTCCTTGCCGTTGACCCAGACGGTGAAGGCAGAATCGACACCTTCAAATCGCAGTCTGAGCTGGTGGTCGGCAAAGTCGTCCCCGACTTGGAATGTTGTCACGTGGCGGCCGCACTCATTGTCATCGTAGGGAATGTTGGGGGCGTCTACCGGCCAGGGGAAGTTGAGATTCGTGTACTGTGGACCCTTGCCAAAGCCCTGGCACTGCCACATGCCGGGGACAACAATGTCGTCCCACTCAGACGTGTCAAAGTCGGGTTTGTAAAAGTCCCGGGGTTCATGGAACGGCGATGTGGTCAGATGGAACTTCCATGTCCCTGACAGGAGCTTGGACTTGGACTTGGAGGTGTCCCTGGTAAGGGCGTCCTCTTCATTGTCGTACAGAAAGAAGTAGCTGCGAGGCGGGAGGGTGCCGCGGTGGAGAACTTTGAGGTTGCTCCAGTCCGGGAGGCTCGAAGGAAAGGTGTGCGTGGGGGCCTTCTCGGCCGCGGCGATCTGCTGTCCAGACGATCCGGCGCCGGACAAGCCGTCACTTGACGAGCTACCGAGACGGCGGTGACGGCCTAACTTCTCCATGTAGACGTCCATATGGAGGCGGGTCTCGGAAGAGATGTCGACATAGTCATCAGAGATCTCGGACATGGTGATGCGAGGTTCGGCACCGGCGGCCGAGGCGGAGAACGATGCGGGTACGCGTTCAGGTACGGCCAACGAGTGGAGAGACAAAAATTGGGGTCAGTGGAGACACACGATAGATGAAGACGAGATATCGACGGGGACGCGCAAGGGAGATTGATGTACACGATGACGAGCTGTCTAAAGATGGATTGGGTGGAGGTGGCGGTGGTTCACATACAGCCCTGTCAAAGGAGGAGAAGGAACGCGGATGGAGATGGGGATGAAGACGGAGATGGCAATGAAGGTTGGAGCTTGAGTTTGGAGCTTGGATCGGCAGGAAACGATAGCTCTGGGAAACACACTGATGTCTGTCTGACTGTCTCAGAACCAGGACCCGAGCTCTGGATGTGTGTGTGTGTCTGTCCAAGGTCGGGAACCGGGAACGAACGTCACCTGAGACGGTGCAGCGTCTGGGAGTGCGGGGGAATCACAGAGAGACCAGCTGCAAGGGGAAGGTGGCTGGTGAGGTATGGTACACTATTGGGGAAGCGGGGTAGCTGATCGTTGGTCCAGAGGGGTTCGGGCTAGTAGCTTATGTAACGCGGCAGAGTTGAGGTTAAAAGCTGAGGTTAAAAGCTGAGGCCTGAGGATCCATCTCACGTGGCTCACGACCCGAAGCGGCAAGATACACACGTGACTTTTGCCGCCAGACTTTGGGGTAGGGGGAGCGGGCACTTTATCCGTACTCTTACTGCGTAATCAACCGAGCAGGCACTGATCAAGAGTCAGCCGGGATTAGTCGGGATAGGTATTATCATTGGTTCTGTTTGGCCAAACACCAAACATCAACACCCAAACACACTCACATCCGGCTGGCTTGTTGCCGAGAGGGACCGCCCTAATAACGTACGTCCCTTGGTCACCTACATTCTAGTTTTTTATTTGAGCTCTTTCCTTTCTTTTTTATCTTCATATTCCAGCATCAGTTTTTTTTTTCCTCTTTTTCCGCTGGCGTTTCGATCCAGACCGACTTCGAGTCAGGCTCGGGTTCCGTCCGAGAATTTCTCCACCACACCCGCCAATTGCCTGCTCATCCAGCCGAGGTACGTATCCACGTGCGGTGCCCCGTCCGGCGTGGGTATCGCGGGTTGTGTGGGAGGAAACCCCCAGGGTCCATAATTTCCCCAGCCGAGGCTAGCGCCCACACAAGGCCTCGGCTTTCGACCCCATCTGGGGGTATCAAGAGTCTCCACGTTCCGAAAGAATCCTTGACATACGTGGTACGATCGTATATACGGTATACCCTCGCAATCGGTAGGCAGGTAGGTAGTTTACAATTTGGAGAAGCTGGGGGGTTTTTTATTTTCCCCCTTTGTTGCCAGCCCATTCCCCCTTCACCTTCCCCCTTTTTCCTTGGCTGTCCTCTGCATCCTCGGCCCATCGCCATGATCGTTGTAGCCGCAATCTCCCATCCCCTAAGAAAACAAATTTCCAAGCTTGGCGGACGTTTGTGGCCGTTGCATCATCGTCCGGGGAAATAGTTCGGCACGCAGCCGCAAACCTTGTTGTTGGTTCTGCCCGCGCCTTGGCTGGTCCCATCACTTTCCCAACCCGCAAGTTTCTTCGCGTGATTCCTCCCCCGCCCCCCCCCCCCCCCTTGTGCCCATGCTGGCCCTTTTGAGCATGTCAAGCCGAACATGGTTCGTTCGCCACGAATCACACGTTGTATCCTACAAATGCCAGGGTTCCGACTTGATCCCCTCCTCCTTATGGCGGGGATGCGGGCGTGCCTTTTGAGGAGAAATGGGGTAAGCCAACCCATAACAGACATGATGCCGTGCGGAGATGCAGAGGGTGGCACTTTTTTTCCAACGTGCTAACAAAACTGCTTACTTGCTTCACTAGTATGAAATCGTTGATGCATCCAATATCTTTTTCCTGTCAGTCATGCGCCATGTATCAAACAGAAGCGTCTCCGCAAAAAAAAAAAAAAAAAAAAAAAAAAAAGAAAGAAAGAAAGAAAGAAAGAAAGAAATAAGGCCTGCCCACATGCCCACGGCACCGCTTTCCCCGTGCAACGCAGCCCGTTTATCGCCCTTGTTATCCATACCCGGACCGATGTGGAGACGGCACATCCAAACCACATGATCCTGGGTCGTCCGAGGACAGGGTGTGGGAGGATGGAGATGTCATGTAACAGCGGTGGGCAGTGGACTCGTCCCGGGCCCTTGGTTGGATCATCGTTGGCCGGTGGCCGGGCCTTGGCTTGCTGATTCAACCTGTTGGCTGGGGCTGGCTTTCTTTAAGGCCCTCTTCTTTCTGCTTAAAACACTCCATCGTCCCTTCGCGTCTCTCTCGTGCGCGTCTCTCTTGTCTTTTCGTCCGCCCCGTTCCCCCTCCCAATTGACCCGACCTCTTGCGTTGCGGTCCAGCGCAAACCCCGCCCCCAAATCATCATGGCCACCCTTCAAGAGTCCAAGTCCAACGCCGAAGTCGAACATGATAACACACCGTTCGACGAGAAGGCCCCCGCCGGCGAGGTGACGGAGATCAATGCCGCCTCCGTCGCCCTCGCCGCCGCTCTGGCCGAGAGGCCGCCCAACATCTGGTCGCCCAACATGATCAAGCTCTACTGCATCCTTGCTATTGGCTACCTCGTGTCTACTATGAACGGTTTTGGTAAGTCTGCTATGCCTCATACGTGTTGAGCGTAACCCCGAGTATACTAACACCCAACAGACAGCTCCCTCATGGGAAGTCAAAACGCGATGCCCCAATACCAAAAGACCTTTGGCCTCGACGGCGCCGGCTCCACCACCGGTATCGTCTTCATGATCTACCAGGTCGGTCAGGTGGTCAGCTTCCCGTTCTGCTCCCCCTTGGCCGACGGCTACGGCCGCCGTGTCTGCATCTTTGTCGGCTGCTTCATCGTCCTCGTCGGCACTGCCATCCAGACGCCCGCCAACACGCTCGGCCAATTCATTGGCGGAAGATTCGTCCTCGGTTTCGGCGCCTCCCTTGCCTCTGCCGCCGGCCCCGCCTACATTGTTGAGCTTGCGCATCCCAAGTACAGAGGAACCATGGCTGGCGCGTACAGTACGTGAAACCTCCTCCCCCCCCTTTTTGAGATGCCCATGCGTCTTTTCGGTTCTCTTTGCTGACGGACGTTCGCCCATCAGACACCTTCTGGTGGCTCGGAAACATTCTGGCCGGATGGACCACGTACGGCACGAACGAGCACCTGCAGACCAGCTGGGCGTGGCGGATCCCCACCCTCGTCCAGGCCGGCATGCCCGCCGTCGTCATGTGCTTCATCATGTTCTTCCCCGAGTCCCCCAGGTGGCTCATCTCCCACGACCGCGGCGAGGAGGCCCTCGCCATTCTCGCAAAGTACCACGGCGACGGCGACGCCAGCTCGCCCATCGTGCAGCTCCAGTACCAGGAGATCGTCGAGGACAACCGTCTGACCAAGAACGAGAACCCTTGGTGGGACATGCGGGAGCTGTTCAACACCAGAGCGGCCCGCTACAGACTCTACATGATGATTGCGATGGCTTTCTTTGGTCAATGGAGCGGCAATAACGTCGTTTCTTACTTCATGGTAAGCAGCAGCCCGTTCCGGGGACCCCCTGGGATGACAACGAGAAGGCGACGACGAAACCCACCACTAACATGCAATAGCCCGAAATGTTCAAGCAGGCAGGCATCACCAGCGACAGCACTCAGCTGCTTCTCACAGCTATCAACCCCATCTTCTGCCTCATCGCGGCCATCTATGGCGCCACCCTGCTCGACAAGCTCGGCCGACGTTTCATGATGTTGGCTGGCTTGGCCGGCTCCCTCGTCGCCTACATCATGTTGACCGCCTTCACCGCCGAAACCCCAAACAACCAGAACCTTTCGTACGGTGTCATCGTCTCTATTTACCTCTTCGGCATCGTCTTCTCCTGGGGCTTCACCCCCCTGCAGACGCTCTATGCCGTCGAGTGCATGGAGAACCGCACCCGCGCCAAGGGCTCCGCTTTGTCCTTCCTGTTTCTGAACATCGCCATCATCATCAACACCTACGGAATCAGCGTCGGCATCCAGAAGATAGGCTACAAGCTCTACATCGTATATATCGTGTGGATCTGCGTCGAGATAACCATCATCTACTTCTTCTTTGTCGAGACCGCCGGCAAGACCCTGGAGGAGCTCAAGTCTATTTTCGAGGCGCCTAACCCTAGGAAAGAGTCAACGAAAAAGACCAAGGTTGCGGTGGACGGGGCTGGCAATGTTCTCAACGTCGGCGAGACCATTTCTGCGTAGACAGGCCTTGTATACTCAAACTCGCATATACACTGAGTCTACGTACCTAGTATTACAACACCCTAGCGACCCTTCCGGGGTTTTAATGAGATAATTTGTAGAGCAGAGCGTTGAAATGCTTATCATGAAACTGTCTGTGAAGTCTGCCACTGAAGTTTTGTGTCGATGTGGAGTCAAGTTAAGAATTAATGACTTGGGACTTCCGGCTTTCTGTTACAATATGACAAATTTAATTAAGATGACTTCGCGACTGATCTCGACAAAACCCATCATCTTCTCACGGCTACTGACTGGCCGCGTTTACTCTGTCATAAAAGGTCATGTGGCATAGCTCATCCTGTTGCCGTTCTAATATTGTGAATGATGGATCTTAACATTCTTATCCGGAGTAGAGACGTATGAATACCAAGTAATGTGAGTGGTATTTGAGGTTCCTCAAGAAATGCGCATGAGCTTTTCAAGAGGGCGTTTACTCAATTATAGGTATATGTCAGTCCCCGTGGTGACCCGCCTGACACGTGGGCCGGCACCATGAACCGAATGGTGTGGCATTGATGGTTGCCGGATCCCTCTGTCACATGATCCAATCTTTCTCGCTTTTTGCCATTTTCAATGTGAAGGAAGCGTGACTCTGCGATGTTGATGTTGCACCACACAACGAAGCCCCACAGCGGCGTTGGTGGTTGGATCCGCCAATACAAACTTTCCATTCCTGCACTCTAGCTATTTGAATGAGCCAACGTCGATCCGTCTCACCCATTCCCGATTCAGCCATCCACCGTGTGCCGCTTCCAGCCTAGTTCCGCGCATCTCCGCGAACCCATGGGGAAATAGGGTCCTAGTCAATAACCCAAATCTTGGGGCGACGCGCAACTTACAGAAAAAGTCGGACGTGGTTGCCGGTTCTCTTGTACCATTCCTTCTTCGCGGCCTCCTGATATGTCAGGATCTTTGGAAATTTGAAAGGATAAAAGAATGGCAGAAGGATAGACGAACAAGGGAGGTGCGAGAATACAAATGGTCGTTTGAGATGGAAGAAATAGAGCTAGAACAAGTCACGCGGGCGCGCAATTATCAAACTGCCCCTATTGCCCATCTCATCCGTGCCAAGGACCTGTGGCTGCTTTGCAGGGCAATATGCTATTCATTACTGACACGGGAATTTGCTTGGGATATGGGAGACAAGCTGTCTTCACGGGAACGCGAGGACGAGTTCCAGACGGCTCTTCGACTCTAGTCCAAGGAACCAAATCTCCTTGTTGTAATTGCACACTACCCCTAGAAATACCCCTCGCGGGAGCCGATAAGTAACGATCCGAATGATATTCTCTTCTTTCCATCCCCGTTAATAACAGTATTGGGATATTGGAGGGAGCGGGTGAAGAAAGCTTAGCTTTGGCCACGGTTCCTGGGACCTGCGCCTAAACGAACCGCGTCCCCCCCATGTTGACCTTGCCCCTCACCCCAAGCCCGCCAAGCGGAAGTATATCTTCCTCCAGCGGCAAACGGATGCAGTGCATCCGGGTCGTCGGCAAGCTTGGGACCGCAGCATCGTTCTACTTGTCGTGGCAAACTCCCGTTGATTGATGGAATTAGCCAAGGCAGCCTCGATCCGCCTCATTTCCGGAGGGTCGAGTCAGAATAACGTGCTCGGTTCAACAGTTGAACGCGATTGCCCCTTCGCACCACTGTGGCATCGTTTGCCATCCCAGTTCTACCAGAGAAACGGGTCGTAAGGAAACAGGACGCTTGCTTGGTTTATTTATAATGCTGGACAGGTCTGCAGTCGTCAACCTGTTCCTGTCCCCCTTCCATCACCTAGTCTACCTGTCATAGAAGTCTGAACGTCGCTCTCGCGCCGCACTTTTGACGAACAGTCTCTCAAGACAGCGGTCATTGGCCCAAGATGAAGTACGTCAAGCTTCTCCTGGCCGCTATTGCGGCCCCGATCCAGGCTGCCTTCACCTGGAAGAACGTCAAGACCGGTGGCGGCGGCGGCTTCGTCCCGTCCATCGTGTTCCACCCCACGACCAAGGGCGTTGCCTATGCCAGGACCGATATTGGCGGTCTTTACCGCCTCAATGCCGACGACTCCTGGACCCCGGTCACCGACGCGAACAGCTTCGCCGACGATTCTCACTGGAGCCGGTGGGGTGTCGATGCGCTCGCGCTTGATCCCCAGGACGATAAGAAGGTGTTCATTGCCGTGGGAACATACACCAACAGCTGGTGGGGCCAAATCTGTAGCTTTCTATTCAGGATGAACTGCTTGCTGATTCTTCCTCAGGGATCCCTACAATGGGCAGATTGCGCGTAGCTCGGACCGGGGTGCCACATGGTCCTTTGCCGACCTCCCCTTCAAGGTAAGAAATTAAGGATGCATCATGTATCCCCCCCCAAGTTCGACAGACTGAATAACATTCATGTTAGGTTGGCGGAAACATGCCTGGGAGAGGAAACGGCGAGCGTCTTGCAGTCGACCCGAAGAACTCCAATATAGTCTATTTCGGTGCCCGGAGCGGCAACGGGCTATGGAAAAGTACCAACGGAGGTATGGTAAACCAAGTCTGCGCAAGGACAACATGATTTTGACTCTATGCAGGCGCCAGCTTCTCCAAGGTCTCATCCTTCACCGCCGTCGGTACGTTCCGTGCTGGGCCTGCCGGGGACCAGTACAACGGCGACATCCAGGGTCTGAACTTCGTCACCTTCGACCCTACTTCCGCTGCAGTTGGAGGCGCCACGTCCAGAATATTTGTCGGTGTGGCTGAGAACGTAACGTCTTCCGTTTACGTCTCCAACGATGCCGGCTCTACTTGGTCCGCTGTTGCCGGCCAACCGGGAAGATACTTCCCTCACAAAGGCAGGATCCAGCCTGCCGAGAAGGTGTGTTCTGCGTTGAACAATTGCTATTGGTACTAGACTGACAATATTTGTAGGCTCTATATATAAGCTACGCTGACGGAACCGGACCTTACGACGGTACCTCCGGTTCAGTCTGGAGATATGACATTACCGCTGGCACCTGGAAGGACATAACCCCGGTTTCCGGCGCAGACTTGTACCACGGCTTTGGTGAGTTGATCAAATTTCTGGACTCATCATTTCCTCAACATAGATCCATTTGGAAACGTGTTGCTTTTCTTGAAGAGTAAAATTGTAGTGCTAATGAAACTTAGGTGGCTTGAGTGTGGATCTCCAAAAGCCAGGCACCCTGATTGTGGCATCTTTGAACAGCTGGTGGCCCGATGCAAAACTGTTCAGATCAACTGACTCCGGCAATACCTGGAAACAGCTTTGGACATGGGGTACCGACGGTAACCAGAACCTCAGCTATGTCCAGACTTCACCAAAGGTAGGAAAGACCCCGATAACGAAGAGCCGGGAGGATGGGTCAATAGAAATCAAACGGAACCCAAGCACTGACGCGTTGCAGGCCCCTTGGATCAAGACCAACTTCCTCGATGTCGATACGAAGGACTTGGGTTGGATGATCGAGTCCTTCGAGATCGACCCTACCGACTCCAACCATTGGCTGTGGGGCACCGGCCTGACTATCTTCGGCGGCCATGACCTGACCAAGTGGGATACTGGAGCCAAGGTCAACATCCAGTCCCTGGCAGATGGCATCGAAGAGATGGCCATCCAGGAGCTAGCCAGCGCCCCCGGTGGCTCCGAGCTCCTCGTCGCCACCGGAGACAACAACGGGTTCACTTACAAGGCCCGAAGCGATATCGATACGGCACCGCAGACCACCTGGGCCAACCCCATGTGGGCAACTTCCATAAGCGTCGACTACGCAGGCAATAAGGTCGCCAGTGTTGTCCGCGCCGGAAACACCGTCGGAACCCCGCAGCTGGCCGTCAGCTCCGACGGCGGCGCCACTTGGAACGTCAGCCCGGCCGCCGGCACCGCGCAGTACGGCGGTTCCGTTGCCTACTCCGCCGATGCCGACGTCATTCTGTGGTCGACGGAGACGGTCGGCGTGCAGAGAAGCGCCAACGCAGGCTCTCTTGCAGTGGTCTCCAGCATCCCCGCTGGCGCCGTCATCGCTAGCGACAAGCGCAACAACACAGTCTTCTACGGTGCCTCGGGTTCCAAGTTCTACCGCTCCACGGACGCCGGGGCGACCTTCTCCACCGCAGGCTCCCTTGGGTCGGCCACAAGTATCAGTCATGTTGAGGCACATCCGATCAAAGCGGGCGACGTCTGGGTATCCACCAACGTCGGCATCTTTCACAGCACCGACTACGGCTCCTCCTTCACCCAAGTCTCCACGGTCCTCACAAACACCCACCAGGTGTCCCTCGGCAAGGGCTCCGGCTCCACCTGGAACCTCTACGCCTTCGGCACCGGTCCCGCAGGCAGACGCCTCTACGGCAGCGCCGATCTTGGCGCATCCTGGACGGACCTCCAAGGATCCCAGAGTTTCGGAGCCGTTGACAGCGCCAAGATCGCCGGCTCCAACAATGAGGACAACCTCGTATACATCGGCACCAACGGGCGCGGCGTCTTCTATGCCTCAGGCGTCATCCCTTCTTCCGGTGGCGGTTCAACGTCTGTTTCTCCAACAGCGACTGCCGGGCCATCAAGCAGTAGCTCTGCGGTCCCCGTGAGCTCTTCCTCATCTTCTGTTCGGACTACTTTGGTGACATCCTCCACCTCCGCAACCCGGACCTCCACCAGTTCCTCCCCGGCTCCTACGGCGACCAATCTAGCGAAGCAGTTTGAGCAGTGTGGTGGTGCGGGTTGGAACGGCCCAACTCAATGCGTTTCGCCGTACAACTGCAAGCTTTGGAATGAGTGGTACTCCCAATGCGTGTAGGCACTACAGAAAGGGGCAATTTCACGTATGAGACGGTGTAACGCGATATGGGCTTAGAAAGTCAAGACAGGGTTAGCAGATTTAAAAGAAGAATCCCTCAAAGCCAAAAAAAAAAAAAAAAGCTTCCATGGTCTGATACTATTACGAATCCAGCGATCTGCTCGATGCTTCACCTTGAAAGATGGATATGCTGGATGTATGTTCCCTTCGTTCACAAATTGCATTAACATCCATAGTAAGACGATCAACTCTTT